TCAATTACATTATTCGTATAATAATAACAACCTCTCCTGTTTGGTTTAAGACTCTCTCTTATTCCTACTTTTACGACTATCTCCCAATCTATCGCATTTTCTACTAATTCTACGGATAATACAATCTCGTCTTCTTGTCTTCTACTTCTCTGTTCTCTCTTGCCAAGTATTACGATTCAGGCTTCAATTGTATTGTTCGTATAACGATGATAACCGGTCCTATTTGGTTCAAGACTCTCTCTTTTACTTACTTTTACGACTACCTTCAAGTATACCGAGCTTTAGCTAATTCTACGGACGCCGTAATCTCGTCTTCTGCTTCTCCGTTCTCTACCAAGCTTTAGCTTTACGATTCAGCCCCAATTGTATCAATTTCGTACGAGAACAATATCTTTTATTGGTTCAAGACTCTCTTACGACTGAATTTCAATTACTTTACAACTACTTTGTATTCGCTTCGATTTCTACCAATTCCACCGGCTGTATAGTCTTCCCTCTGCTTCTCTATTCTCTCCTGCCAAGCTTTACGATTCAGCCCCAATTATATCAATTTCGTACGATAATAATGTCCTTTATTGGTTCAAGACTCTCCTCTTACGGCTGAATTACGACTGCTTTGTACTTATATCAATTTCCATTGATTCCATCGCTTGTACAATATCGCCTGCTCTTTTCCCCGATCCCCCTTTATTTATAAAGCTAGATACTTTACAAGTCTCTCGGTCTTACTTCCAGTATATCGATGAGCTCGTATAATACAGAGATCCTTCCGATTCTAATATTCAAAGCCTCCTTGCTTACTACAAAGAACTGCTCCGGCAAGAGCTCAATTATATATACTTTGGGATCGTATCTTTTATAATTCTTTCCCCTCCTTTGTATCTCTCTCCCGATTGGCCATATGATATTAAAACTCCTCCGCCTCTATCTTCTCCTTTGCCTTTAGCTTCTCCTACTATACAACTACAAGAATATAAGTCTCCATTCCAGACGGACGAAGATAACGAGATACCGGTATAGGTTAGTCAAGCAGTGGCATATATGATATATAAAGCTAGGGCTATATGGTGGGCATAAGTAGTTAATTCCGTACGATTTCGACGATTTTCGATGCTCCTTTACTTCCCCTTTATTCGGTTCCGAGCCCTGTGGTTTCCGTGGTTACAAGGCTTGGGCATACTTCGATTTACGGTTCCCTCCTTCGATTTACGGTTCCCTTTTTCGATTTACGGTTCCCTTCTCCGATTTACGAACCCTTCTCTCCTTCGATTCTTCTTTATACTTTCGACTTCCGATTCCTTTCCCAATTCCGTACGATTTCGACGGTTTCTGATACTCCTTTACCTCCTCCTTATTCGATTCCAAGCCCAGTGGTTTCTGTAGTTACTATGGCACTTATAGAGGCTCTGGTATACTTTACTTTACGGTTCCCTCTCCGATTTACAAACCCCTCCCTTATTCGATTCCCCTTTATATTTTCGGCTTCCGATTCTCTCCCCTTTTACATATGATTTCGGCAGTTTCGATACTCCTTTACCCTCCCCCTTATTCGATTCCAAGTCCAGTGATTTCTGTAGCTGCTATGGTAGTTACAGTGGTTTCTGGCACACACTTCGATTTACGGTTCCTTCCTCTCTAATTTGCGGTCCCCGCTTCCGATTTACAGTTCCCTCCTCTCCGCTTTCCGACTTTCGAACCTCCCCCTACCTCCTCCAAAACCAGTAATGCCTGCATTACGGCAGTAATAGCAGAGGTACTGGTATATATATTTCGTACGATTTTGGGTACTCTTAGTAGGTACTTTGAATAGTGCTTTAGGTACGATTCGTACGATACGGCAGAGAGAGTATTTCCTTATACTTTGGGTACATTTAGTATCAAAGAGAGAGTTTCCTTGTATTTTGGATACGATTTAATATCAAAGAGAGTGTTTCCTTATACTCTGGGTATGTTTAGTATCAACGAATATCTCCTTATACTTTGGGTACGTTTAGTATCAAGAGAGAGAGTATTTACTAGTACTTTGGGTGCAATTCGTATAATACGGCAGAGAGAGAGAAAGAGAGAGTTTCCTTATACTTTGGGTATATTTAGTATTAAAGAGAGTGTTTTCTTGTACTTTGGGTACATTTAGTATCAAAAAGAGTATTTCCTTATACTTTGGGTACGATTTAGTATTAAAGAGAGAGAGTACGTATCTACTAGTACTCCGGTACGATTCGTATAATACGGTAGAGAGAGAGAGAGAGTTTCCTTATACTTCGGGTACGATTTAGTATCAAAGAGTATCTCTTTATACTTTGGGTACGTTTAGCGTTAAAGAGAGTTTACGGATACTTTGGGTACGATTCGTACGATTTTAGGTACGAAAAATAGAGTGTTTACTAGTGCTTGGACGACAAATTGAACGGAAAATATAGGGGTTTGGAACCGGTAGTATATACAAGATAGAGTATATAATATTTACGATTATTAGAATACTTCAGAGATGGGTTTGAAGCTCTTGTCTTGTAGTATATTCAGGGGACAAGCATTTGTAGGTAGGGGAAGTATATAGTAGGGATTTTACCCCTATTGGTTACGTAATGCGGTCAGGTAACCACCGGACGTCCGTATATCCGGTTTCATATATATTCCCTGCTCTCCTTCTTAGTTCTTAGAAAACAAACCAATAACCAACCTTCACTCTCTAATTTCACACCTCACTCGTATGCTGTAATCCCACGCTATAGAAGCCCATTCTTTACTCCTATATTACTCTGTATTTTATATCCCTATTATAATACGGCTCAAGAAAACCCTAGAATCTATATAAAATTTGGTTAAAAAGGAAGTAAAATAGGTAATAGCCTCGTTTTATCTATAGAGTTAACAAATATAATTAATAAGAGAATTAGTAAGGCAAATAAAGATATAGTAGTAGTAAATATAAGAAGAATATATATAGGTTACCTATAGCTTCTTCTTATATATTAGATAGTATTCCCTTATTTATAAAAAAAACTATTAGGATTAAAAACCCAGATAAATATAAAACTTGGTTTTTAATATTATATTAAGATTCAAACTTTACTTGATTATTATTTCGGTTCCTCTATTTGCGAATATAATTCTAATATAGCTTACTAACTTAAGAAACTATAATAGACTTGAGTTCGAATTACTATATAATTAGAAATAGAGTTATTACTAGGTAATAGTTTATAAAGTATACTATATTGCGAACTTTTAAAGATTAGCTATAAGACGGTTTATATATAAGCCTGAAATATAGTTTATAATAAGCCAAAAATATGGTTTATAATAAGCCTAGAATATAGTTTATAATAAACCTAGAATACGGTTTATAATAAGCCTAAATTATAGTTATATATACTAACTATATTTTTATATTTATACTTATCTGCTAATAGTAGTACCTCGAATATTAAAAGTTAATCTTTTAGTTTTAGAGATATAAGTAAATAGATATATAATTATATTCGCTTAATACTATACTAGTTTATTATTCTAAAGAGTATTATAAGAAGTCAAATATAACTGCTATAAGAATTAGAATTCCTGTAACCCCTTTTTATATATTAAATTAAATCTCTTTACTTTAATCTCTTTCTCTTATATAGATATTTAAGTTAGGTCTTCTATATAATCTACTTCTAAAAACGGAATATTTTACTAATAGTTAGAGGCCTTAATATAATAGTTTATCTATATAATAAACTAATTAAGCTATTTATTATTATTATTTAGTATCTAATATATATCTCTAGTTAATTCGAGAATAATAATACTATATATAAGCTAGTATTCCGTATTAATATCTTGCTTCCCCTATATTACTATATAGAGAATTAGTAAAGCTATTCTAATTATCCAAGATACTAATATATTATACTCTAATTATAAAGTATTATACCGGTCCGGTTTATTAAGAAATAATGGAATTAGCTTCCCTAATTAATAGTATAATATTAGTTATATATAAATAGACCTCTATATAAATAATAATATAAAAACTAATAAAGATATAAAAATATAGCTCTCTTCTATAGTTTTTATTATTATCTTTTATATTTCCGGATATCTAGCTCTTCTAGTTATTATTTCAACTCTTTTTATCTAGTATATATCTTATTTATCTTCTAACTAAATTCTACTACTATATTATTAATAGTAGAATATATTAATAGCTCTTTACTAATCTAACCTCTTTTAGATACTCAAGCCTCGATTCTGGACTTCTTATTTCCAGGCTTTATCTATATATTTACTACTATTTAAAGGTATCTTAATATTAACTTAAATGTCTATATTCCTCTACTTATTTCTTTGAGTTATTTATATTTAGTTACGGATATATTTATAAGTATTTATTTAAATTACTTAAGACTTATTACTATAAGAACTTCTTCTATCTAATAGATGAACTTGCTTTCTAATAATTAATAGCTTTAACTATTTATTTTCGATATTATAAGAATATATATAATATATTTATATTATAGATATCTTTTTAGAGCTTTGCCCAGAATACTCACTCTTTTCTTACTACTACTGACTTAGCCTTTTTATTAAACCGCTTAAGAAATAACCCTTTAAATAGTAGGAATATAAGTAAAAAGACTCTATATTATATATCCTAAAATAGATACTTTTCTATATAATATAAGGGCCGTTTACTTTAGTTCTGGTATTAATATTAAGCTAGAGAGATTAATAGCCGAGAAAAGGCCTCTATTTCCTACTTTAGTAAATCTTTATAAATTCTCAGGAAACTGCTTTCCGAGTACTATATCAAGTATATAAACCTTATTTAGGACAAAACCTGTATCTATAATTACTAAGACGGCCGGTAAACGAGGTTTATAATAGGAAATAGAAAATATATTAAGACAGTTATTCTTAAAAAAGAAATAGAAGAGAAGCTACTAAAAGATATTAAAGAGTTTCTCGACCAAATATCTCAGAGATAGTATTCTAACCGGGATATCTCCTACTAAAAGAGTTACCTGCTATATAGTCTCCCGGAAACTGGAAAATCAAGTTTAAGTAAGGCTATTACTAGGTATTTTAGTTTAGATATCTATATTCTTAATCTCTTTACTATTAATAAAGCCAATCTAATAAATCTATTTACTAAGCTCCTAAGTTATTATATAATTCTTTTAGAAGATATTAATATTATAAGTTCAAATCAAGATACCGAAATAGAGGACTCTTACTAGACCTTAGCTCCCTTTCGAGTATATAAATCTGCCTCTAAAAAGATATTCTTATCTACTATTCTAAATGTTATTAATAGTATAGTATTATAAGAAGGCCGGATTCTAATTATAACTATTAATTATATTATTTGCCTTAATAAGATACTTATATAGCCTGGCTATATAGATAAGAAAATTAAGCTCGGGCTTACTAATAAGGAAATAATAGCTAATATCTTCCGTCTTGTTTTCAAGCCTATAAAAGGCAATATTGTTTTACTAGAGGATACTTAATTAGAAGAGAGTAGAAAAGTCTATAAAGCTATAATAAGTTAGTATAAAGAGGCTGAGAGAGTTGAGCGATTAGTAAAAGAGTTTATAGTTAAGGTACCGGAACTGAAATTCAGTCTGGCTGAAATTCTCTCATTTCTTCTAGAGTATAAGAAATTACTAGAGGAAGCTATTAATAATATAGAGCAACTTACCTCAAAGCCCATTAGACCAGAGTTAAAGCCGCTAAAGATATCCGAAAATACCAAGTCTGAAGATATCTAGTTAGTATAAATTTAATAAAGAGTAAACCAAACTTTACTAATAGTTCATTTAAATAAAATAAGGGATCTTTAATAATGAAAGTTTTAACCGAGATACTTTAGCTAAATAGTAAGCTATATACTTCTTTTATATTTCTAAAACTTATAATATAATAGGCTTCCCTTTACCTCTATTAGCTATATCTATATTATAGGCTATTTCTATTATATTAAGTCTAGCAAGTTATACTTCTAACTATTTGAGTTAGTCGGCTTTTATAACTAGAATTCTAGTAGATCCGGTAGAAATATTAAAAGATATTTCGGATTACTAGATTTAATTTAATTCGTAAAGGCTTATATATATTAACTATTATAAAAATATATTAGATAAGATTTTATCTATATATAATTCTTAATTTGGTTTAAGCTAATAGTATTAGATATAATAATTTGCTATCCTATATACTAGAAGATAATTACTTGAATAGAAACTATATTTAATAACTTAAAACAAATTTATTAGTTAATATTAATAATTATACCAAAATCAGGTAGTATTAATAGAATTCAAATAGTATTCGAAATAGAAGGTATATTAGTTTTAGGTAAAATAGAGATTAATATAAATATATATTAATGGATTATAAGAAACTTATTTAAATAGAAGTTAAATAGTTATTATTTAAAGTTGCTTGCAGTATCCGAAAATATTAAACCAGAAAATGCCCTGCCCGAGATAGCTCAAGTTTCCAAGCCGGAGTTTAAAACGGAAATATATATTTTTATAGACTGTAAATCAAACTCTACTAATAGTTCACTTAGCTACCATTTATTAATAATAGCTCTAATAGAGGTGATTTATTGCAATCCCTTGCCAGTATTCCTACCAGAAAGTATATAGAGTAATAATTAAGTAATAGAGACGGCAGATGCAATAGCTATAATAAGGCTAGATCCTACTCTATTATCTTACCTCTTTTCTTCTCGAGCCTTACTTGGGAATCCACTATTTATACTATCTCCCTGTTCTAATTATTTAATAAAGTTATCCTTATAAGTTACTATAGAGTTTACTTAGCAGGTTATTAAAGTACTTAAGTTAATTAATATTAAATAAAAGCCTCCTCTTCTTATAAAGCCGTCTTGCTCTGGCTATAAAGACAAATCCGAGAAACCAAAAGCCCGAGCTTCGATACTAGGGTTTAAGAAAGTTAATAAAGTATATATATATCCCAAGTATAGCCCGACCTTATTACTAATATTATATAGCTGGAATAAACAGAAATATAAGTATAAAGTTATAGAATTATTAATACTAGCTAATAAAGTAAATAAGCTTAATTACTATATCTTTATTATATATATATATATATAGGTAAGTATTCTAGCCTCTCTCCCAACCTCTACTTCTAATAAAAGCGCAGATAAAGAGATTAAGAATCAGATCCAATTTATAGATATTAAATCTTCGGACTTATAAAATATTATCTGGAAGGTTTTATAAGACATCTAGAGAATCTGCCTTTATAAAGAGAAGCCCTCGGTAAGTATAGAGCTAACCGGAATACTCAAATACTTAGTATATCTATTAATAAATTACTAGATAAAGTAAAGCCTACTCTACTATTACTTGTCCGACTTAGAAAAGTATTACTAAAACCCTGGTATAGTCTTTAATTATTCTATTCTTAAGTATCTGGATTTACTACTTAATTTTATTAGAATAGCTTATATTTCAACTACTAAGTATCTTAGCCCACTTTTCAAGAACTTCTATAGATATTCTTTAAGCCGAATACTCTAGTATATATTAAGTATTTTAGTACTAGCTAGCTATAATATATTAAATACAAATTTGGGAAAAGGAAAAAAATAAAGGATAGAATAGAGTACTTTTATATTAAGGCTTGCTATTTGGATTTTAATAGAAAGATTTTAGGGGAGACCTCGAATAAGTATACTATTAAGAAATTCCGTAGAATAAAAGCGATTACTACTCTGGAATTATTTCTCCTCAAATACTATTCGGATAAAAAGTATATAAAGATATAGCTCTCCGAATATAGTTAGAGATTTCTGTCTATAATAGATATTCACTTTTATAAATATAAAGGCAAGATATTCTATATCAAGAAAGAACAGGTTATTAAGATCTTTATTAAGAGCCGGGTTATAATTAATACGGCTTATTTTCAAGAAGAGAACCCGAACTATACCAGACCGGCTATTAAGGAATCTAATAGGGGCCTATTACTATTATTTAGCTAGACCTTTACTAGTTTTAATAATAGTAATAAAACTAATAAAGAGTTATTTCCGGTTAAGGATAATGGAATAGATCTATTAGAAGTAAAGAGAGACGACCTGCTTATCTATAGTCTAACCGTTTCCGGATTTAGCTTAGATATAAGTAGATAGGGTAAGTATCTAATTCTTTTCTATTATAGCTCGGCTAATATTAATATAGTAGAATTAGCTATTACTAATATTAAAGAGATTAACTAGAAATAAGTAGTATTAGATAACTTTTATATTTTTATAAAGAAAAAAAAGGCTATATAAGCTCTTTTTAAAGCCTATATTAAGCGGGTATTAATTAATACCTTTAATAATATTATAAAGGGAAAGAGGTAAGAATTTAATATACTCTTATAATAAGATATCTAGTCTCTATTTATATTATATTTCTGCTAATATATTATATTAGTAGGCTATTAGATATAGGAAAGACCTTAATAGCTAAATTACTTACCGAATATTTTTAGAGGCCACTTATATAAGTCTCTGCTAGTAAGCTCGGTATAATAGTAGAGGCCGTTAAATAGTAACTGCCTTATATTTTTAAGTATACTACTTAATAGAAGGCAGTTCTTTTACTAGATAAGGCGGATATATTTCTCGAGTAGTATTTAACCCAAGATATCTATTAAAATACTCTTATTTATATATTTCTACGGATTCTGGAATACTACTAAGGGATAATATTTTTTACTATTAATAAAATAGGGCAGATTAATAATATAATTACTAGTAGAATTTACTTTAAACTAAAGTATAGTAAGTTAAATAAAGAATAGTAAACTAATATTTGGTAATACTTTCTAGAAAAAGCAACTATACCTTAAGGAGAGCCAATTTATAGCCGGAATACCTTTAATAATTAGATATAAAAGAAGTATAATAGCTATAAGATAGGTTTATTCTTTATCTATTCGAGAAGTAAATTAATTAATAATATCGTTTCAGATTAAAAACCTAGTATTAATAGTTTATACTCTAGCTATTTAAGAGGGATATTAGGTTACTATATTTTATTTTAAAGTAGCTATTAGTATATATAAGGATTTCGAATGCGATTTTAAAGAAATAGAACTAAAGGAAGCTATAAATAGTTATTTCTAGCCGAGCCGCCTTTTAAGAATAAACGAATTTAGAGAATTAGGCTGAATTATATATATAAGCTTTAGTTATAATTCTTTAGATCTCTATATATCTTATATATATACCCTATTATATAAGGTTATTATTAATATTTATATATTATATATTAAACCTAAAATATAGCTAAAATACAGAATTTGCTACTTTAATAACTGAAATTTATTTCTTATAATAGATTATAATATCTTGGCTTTTAGAATATTCTAAAATATACTAAAAAAGGCTATAACTTTTATATTTTATTAAATATATATTAGCTATAAAATACTATTTGGTTTAAAGATAAAAGGCTATATATTAAATCTATATAATATATAATAAAACTATAGTTATTATAGTATATTCTACTAGCTTGAATTAGGCTTAAATATTACTAAAATTAGCTATTAACTATTATTTCATTTACTAGAGGGGGCTAGAATAGGCTTTATATACTAAATATAACTCTATTATTATTACTATTATATTTACTAATATTATAAATCTGCCTCTAATTTTGGATTTAATCTCTATATATTAACCTATAGAAAAGAAATAAACCGAGAGCTAATTAATATATATTAAAGCTAGAGGCTTTTCCTTATAAAACTAGAGAAGTTTATAAAAAAGAAGCTTCTATTAGAAGAATTTTCTCTAGAGTATTATAATATATAATAAAAATCAAATAAATTAAATTATTTCCTATATAAAATTTCTGTATATTATATTTAGTTCCGGCTAGTATCTGGGTTCTATTTGTTTTTAAATAGTTTTAGAGGAGTCGGAATATATTAAAGGCTCTAGCCGGCTAGTAATTATAGGTAATATATAAATTGAGTTAGGTAATACTGAATTCTAAGACAGATATATTTTATGGCTTTTATAGCTAAAAATTACTATAGCTCTATACTATTAATAATCTAGTAAATAATTATTAAACTTTAATAAAGTAGCTATTTATAATATATAATTAGTTATTATAAGGTGAGATAATTAAGGCTATAAATAAGGTAATAGAAAGATAAGAAATCTATAAATTAATATAAATTAAGATACTTAAGCTAGTTTATACTATATTTATATAGCCTTAGTTTATATCCGAGTCTTTATATATCTCACTACTAGTAGATAATATAAGGCTTAAAGAAATACTATAATTGCCCTCTATTCCGCCTATATTAAGAGATTAAGGCTCTATATTATATAGTATATAATACTATTCTATAAACTATAATAAAGTATAAGAATATAAATCTAATACTTCTCTAGTATCTAGATAATCCCATATTATATATATATTATTTATATATTACAGGCTATAGAAGATAATAATATTATAGAACTAAAAAGCTACTAAATACTTATAACTATTTACTTATTTATTTAAATAGTTATTATTTTATAGGGCTTTGAAATTTAAGCTTATTCTTAAAAATATTCTCTACTTATAAATAATTAACTATAAGAATTAAAGTTATTAACTAATACTCTTAGTACTTAGACTCTAAATCTATAAAGCCTGCTTTAAGAAATAACTTTAATTTTACTTTTTTATAAATTTAATATTTTAGAGTAGTTTTAAAGCTAGTAGCTTACTAGATAAAAGAAAACCCATATAATATATATATAATAATAGTTATCTAATAGACTTAGTATAAATATCTAATATAGGATACTATTATAAAGTATTAGAAAGATATTATTAATTCTTATAATTGTCTATATAGAACTTAGTAGGCTAATAAACCTATAAAGAAGAATAGTTATTATAGTTATTTAGCCCAAATACTATTAAATTCATTAGAAAGCAATAGTTAAGTCTTTAGATTAATAGAATATAATATTTTATAATAAAAGAGCTTTATTTATATATTAAATTTATATTATTTTATAGAATATCTCAACTTATATCTATTAATTAAAACTCAAAACTATCTATATAATTAGTATATAAGCCAAAAATTTATTAGCTATTTATTATATTAGACCTAAATATACTTACTAAAGAAGTATTTTATAAACTATACCAGCTTTCTCAAATATCTATTTAACCTAAAAAAGGCAGGCTATATAAGATATTTAATAATCTCTATATCTCTACTTATATATTTATTCTTAGCCTTATATATAAATAGAAAAGTGAAATAATTATTAAAGCTAGGCTATTGGCTATAACCTTATATACTATAATCTTAGGTTAATACTTATTATCTATAGATATATTATAGTAATTAGAAATAATATCTACTTAATCTTGCCTTTTCTTATTTCAGAGCTTTATAATTAAATAGCAAATATTTATTATATCTATAATATATAGTTTTATATAGACTTTTTTAATTAACTATATATTGGCCTAGTTAAGAGAAGAATAGATCTTTATAAGTTTGTCTGGGTAAATATAGAGAAGAACTTATACTAGAGGCTTAATTAAAGGTAGACCTATAGTTAAAGGGATTTTATATAAACTTTATAAGTCGGTATTATTATAGTACCTAAGTCTTGAATTAGTAACTACTATAGTTCTGTTTTATAGATATAGAAAGGATCTTGAAATAGAGAAAGGACCTTAAGAAAGGAATATACCGGGAGAAGTAAGCTATAGATAAGGAGAGGAGAACTACAGATAATATTTGTAATATACGGGTATAGATATAGATTTATATAATATTATATACTTTATAAGCTATAGTAGGGCTAAGCCGCCCTTCGCAGAATTACATAATTATTAATTATTATATAAGTATATAAGTAAGCTTTTCTATTTTAAGTAAGTATAATCTTATATAGTAACCAAGTTCGAGCCCTCTAGTTCGTTATCCAGCCATACATTTCGTCTAGCCACACATTTCGTCTAGCCACACATTTCGTCTAGCCACATATTTCGTCTAGCCACACTCGTCATCTAGCCACAAATTTCGTCCAGCCATACATTTCGTCCAGTTACACTCGTTATCTAGCCACAAATTTCGTCCAGCCACACATTTCGTCCAGACTAGCAAACCCCGGAAACGAATTACCTTACTTACTACCCGAAACCATTTTTTAGATTTAGAGTATAATTACAAGTATATTGGTTTGAAAGATTATACCTCGAAGTAATTATATCTACTACTTAAAGAGCTAAATAATAATCACGTAATAGTAATAATATTATACTCTCTAATAGATAGCTTGTATTTATAGTAAAGGTTTAAGTCTTTTACTTCATATAATCCTAATAATAATAGAATAAGAACTCTTTAGAAGCTCTTTAGCTAGACAGTATTTTTCCTGCTTCTTTTTATACTTTTCTCTATAGCTACTCGTTCTATCTGAGATTACAAGTATATTTTCTCTATATCTTACTAAGGAAGCGCTATCTCTTTAGTAATAGGCTCCTATATCCGGGGTTTATCCCTAGTAAGAAGTATTAGTAATATTCAAATAATAAAAGCGAGATAAATTATACTAATTATATAGTCTTATAATCTTATCCGTATCTGGTTATTGGATTCTCTTTAATAAGAACCTATAATAGTATTAAATATAACTAATCTCACTTCTCTCAGGCATTTTATCTGAGATTTCTTTCTAGCTTAACTTCTTTCCTATAAGTTCTATAAGCTTCGAATCTTTGGCGGATTACTACTTATTTCCTTATAATAAGATATATATAGATAATAATATTAGAGGAAATCGTATAAAAAGTATTAAGATAATAGTATAAATAATAATAATACTTCCTTAAGATATTAAGTTAGAATATATGAAATAATAAAGGTTATAGTAATAAAAGAAAATGAATTAGTAATAAGCCAGCCTAGAACTATTATTAGTTTCTAGAAGGCCGTTTTCGACTCCTAAAAATAATTAGTTAGTTACTAGCATTTATTGGATTACTGGCCAGTTAGGCTATAGTAATTATTTTAAGGTAGAAATACCATTTAAGGAGCCATTTTTAATTACCTATATAAAATATAGTATAAACTCCTTATTAGTTATATATATAATTTCGCCTATAAGACAGGGATATAAAGACAGGATATAGAAACAGGATATAGAGACAAAGTACAGAAATCCCTACTAATAATAATAGCTTTACTATTCTATATTTAGAACCCTTTAATAACCTCCCTATAATATTTATTATATAATATCCTGTTATATAACTACTTGTTATATAACTACTTGTTATATAACTACTTGTTATATAACTACTTGTTATATAACTACTTGTTATATAACTACTTGTTATATAACTACTTGTTATATAACTACTTGTTATATAACTACTTGTTATATAACTACTTGTTATATAACTACTTGTTATATAACTACTTGTTATATAACTACTTGTTATATAACTACTTGTTATATAACTACTTGTTATATAACTACTTGTTATATAATAACCCATTATATAATATCCTGTTATATAACTACTTATTATATAACGCCTTATTATATAACTATTTATTATATAATAACCTGTTATATAATTACTTATTATATAACGCCCTGTTATATAACTATTTATTATATAACGCTCTATTATATAACTATTTATTATATAATAACCCGTTATACAACGTCCTATTATATAACTATTTATTATATAATACCCTATTATATAACTATTTATTATATAACGCCCTATTATATAACAACCCGTTATATAACGTCCTATTATATAACGTCCTATTATATAACTACTTATTATATAATGCCCTGTTATATAACTACTTATTATATAACAATCCGTTATATAACACCCTGTTCTATAACATCCATTCCTATATAATACCGAAATAATTCCGTATATCCGCGGAATTATTATAGCTTAAGAATTAAATTATTTAATTTTATTATTAACTTAATTTATTTAAAAAGTCCTTAAGACTATCTTTTATATAATATATTTAAACTACTTAGCTAAAGAGTATATATATTAAAAAAATTTATTTATTATTTTAAACTAATTAATTATAAAAAATTTATTTAATATTAAATATAAAGTTTAAAATAATATTTATTAGTTTAATAACTAATAAACTATTATTATAATAATTATATAAACTTTTAAACTTATCTTTTTAGTCTTAAATAATAATATAAGTACCTTTTTACTATTAACCTTAGTTTTTATAATATTTTACTTACTAATAATAATAGTAAACTTTTATATAGTAAATATAATTAATAAAGACTAAGTTAAGTTTAAAAGCCTCTAGAAAACTAGTATATTATAATAAGATTATAATAGATTAAGTTATTAATTAAGGCTTATATTAAAGTATCCTTATATTAACTAGGGGTTACTTTATATAAGTAAGCATTCTGCTCTAACTTCTCTTTAGCATTTCCTTGTTTTATTTAAGTATAAGTTTAATACATTTCCATTCTCTATTATTTAATAAATAATAAACGCATAAGGAAAAATTTACCAAAATACAACATGTCTTCCATTATAGCAATTCTCTTAGTTACTTATCTCGTACATATGAAAAGATCCTTTCAGAAGTTAAGGAGGATTAGTTATTGCAAGATCAATAGTGATAGACACCACATTCGGGATACAATGTATCCCAGAGCGAATACAAAACCCTATCTGTTCGGCCGTGACATTGTACGCCAAGGCTTTTTCTCCTGAGCCCGGCGGCACATTAAACTGCGGCGACAAAAAGTGTCCGGTCGAGTCGGCCGTGGTACTACCCAGCAGCGACAGGTCGCTCGCTCCGCTCACTCCGAGCGGGCCCATATACAACGAAACCGCGCGATGCCAAAAGCCTTCGCCAATAACCTTGAATGCGGCGTCTTCTACCATAACGTATGGACTGAAGCCAATGACGATATCTTCGGGCAGATCATCATTCGCTGTCGTCAAGCCAATTATCTCATTGCAGCTTTCTGGAACGCTCGGGACACACACCGGCATCTGGAGCGTAGCCGAGGACCCGCCACACAAGAGCGTCAGAGTGTGCATTCCTGGTGTTATGTTGGCTGGAATTGTCACTACGGCTTTAATCGGGTTGGCGTCGGTGGTCTCGACGAGCGAAATGAGCTTTCCGTCCAAGTCCACGCCCGCAAGCCCAGTCACCGTGGGATAGCCGAGTCCATACAACGTGACATTCTGCCCGGCGATGACACGAAGTTGAGGGCTCACGAGTAGAGTTGGGTCGACCAAAATTTGTCTTTCCATAACTTTGAGGGGTGGGAAGCGTGCGGCCTAGAGAAGATGATTAGTATAGAATACGAAGGGACTCTGAGTGCTGAGGCATACGCTAGCAGACACAACACCCAGCAGGCATGAAATTGCCAAGATCACGGTAGTGATCATTTTGGAGAGCAAACTGATAGCCATGGTTGTGATTTTAATCAAATCTAGCTTTGTTGGTTGGCTTGAAAGTATGTAATTCAGTTCTTGGCATGCCTTTGCACTCTGGCATTTTGGCATATATTTATATAATCTATATTGCCCCTTTCACAAAGCTGAGTCCCGTCAGCAGATAGGCAGCCATTATTCGAAAGGTCTTCTCAGCTGGAACAAGGTAGATTAAGACATCAAAGCTAAAATGGTATTCGCTGCCAGGCAAATAATGTGTATTAACTAGAAGAAGATGATTGGCTTTCTTAGTAGGTGGCGTACTCAACAATTTTACTTCTCAGCTAGTTAACGTAGTCAGGCATCCAATTAATAAGTGACATTGACTGTCAAACATAAGACGAAGAAAGTTGTCAACCTAAATAGCCAATGAATGACTGTTACTGCAGGTACCATGACTTGCCGCTGTGCGGCTGACAACCACCCGATCTGGGGCTGAGAACTTGCTGAATCCTAACTCCGGCGCTTGCCGGAACGCTGAACCGCCCAAGTTCTAAAAGGAGACTCGTATTGTAGTCCAATGGGAATTGATCTAGAGCGCCCAATGCTAATGTCCAACTTACGCTAACAAAGAACCCGAAGGTCCACCAAACACGTGAGCCCACGTGACTAGCACTTAAAAGGAGATAAGGACACTAAAAGTAAGAGTAGTATTTTATAATAACTCTAATATTATTACCCTAAAGGGATACCTTAAACTAATAAGTTTATATAAATTATAAAGAGCTACTCATAGAACTAGAATAATACCTTATATCTACCCCTTATATATAAGTAGTATTTTAGTGAGATACTAGTACGTATAAGTAATAATTAGCCTAAGCGCGGCTAATTAAGGCGGTTTTTAATTAAATATTATTTAGTTAAATACTAAAGTCTCTTTTATATATAATTTCTATTTTAATATTAACCCTCTTTATATTTAAGTACTATATTCTTATATAATTTTATATATTAAGTAGTTATATATTATTTTAAAGTACTTAAGCTAAAAGTATTATTTATAAATAAAACTATATTAACTTTTAAATAAAGAGCTTAAGATTATAATTTAGTTTTTAAATTATTATTATTTAAAAATAATTAAAAAAAAACTAAAAGAATATAAGCTTTAAATTAAAAACTAGTATTAAATAATTAAGTATTTAGTTTATTATAATAGCTTATTATTTTTATAAAATAATTTTTTTTAATTTATTAAATTAAAATTAAAATTTATAAGAGAATTATATTATAGTATATTATAATGCTGTTCTAATCTAAGCTTGTGGCTAGTGAGACTGTGACTGTGTATTGTCTCTGTATACCGAGAGAACTAGGCTAAACAGAACCGTCTCTTGCTACCGGGCCTTAAACGGTGGGAGAGCGCCTGGCCATATAATTTCAACCCAGTTTTCCCCATCTACAAATACCCTCCAAACTATAGCTTTTTCTCCAAGGCTTATAGCGGCTCCGGTCCGTACTCGAAAAGTAGTCTCAGGGCCGTTATATAATGGCCGCTGGACCCTATATGGAATCGTAACAAGTAAGATATATTACGAGGGGAAGAGATTAGCTTCATTTCTTATAGTAGCTCTATATTTAAAATCCCGCAATTTTGACCTTTTCGTAGCTCACTCCTAGGACCTGGTATACTCCTATAACTTATAAGGGTCCCAGGAGACTTGCTTCCGGGCCTGTCGGGGCTCCTAGAAACGGTGATCTTATAATACCCCGCTATCCCGGGATTCTTACTAGTCCCAGGAGCCGGCAAGTTAAGTATCAGGTACCAATACCAACCCCTTGAAATTCTTTCCTTCCTCCTTATTCTTCCAAGCCAAATTTTTCTTTGCTTTTTTGAAAAGGCGCTTCTCGACATCTTCTAGTATTATATTCTTTGGGAGAGGATAGGCAGTTTACTAAAAGTAAAGTATTAGTACTAGTCGTATATTTAAAGCAAATCGTCGCTTTATTTACTATCTCTGCTATAGATAGCAGCCACAATATATGGACCTTGGATTTATATATAGTATATTAATTATACTTATAAATAATTAAAGCTATATTAATGCCATTGAATTCCCCTATTTCATAAGCTTTCTATTGGAATCTGATTAATATATTAGTAATAAATCGATATATTAGAGGTTAATAATCTGTAGAATAACTAGATACAGGAGAGTAAAGAGTAAAAAAGGAGAGGAAGGAATCTAAAGTATAGTTCTTATATACCCACCAGTGGGTAGCGATTTCCTCTAGTATATTATAAATCAGATAACTCATATATATTAGTAAGCGTTCCCTGAGCTTCTATAGTAAGTTATTATAAATGAGAGTAGTAAAGCTAATATTAGTAGTTAAATCTGGTACTGGAAGAACTAGTAAGCTAGTACTAATTCAATACGCCTCCTCCTTATAGTTGAGGTTCGATATTAGTGAGGCTAATAAGCCCTAGCTTCAATTATAGCAGTTCGAAAGCGGGTCTAGGGAGTGGTTTAGTAAGAATATTAGCCGTTATTTCCCTTATAGGCACGTACTTAAGATTAATTTCCTTGGTATTAATATAATTCCTAATAAAATAGTATCTAATATTAATATACTTGGTTTTTTGCAAAAACCGGGCGTTTATAGCTAGATCTATAGCTTTTTAAGCATCCGTTTTTATTTTGATTAAGCCTATAGAAATCGATATTTCCTCAAACAGTTACTTTAGTTATAAAGCTTCTTTAATTACCGGTATTAGGGTAATATATTCAGCTATAATAGTGGCTATAGTAATAGTTTTTTGCTTGGTACTAGCCCAGCTAATAGAACTACTAAATAGAGTAAAAACTATATTGGAGATTAATTTGTAATCCTGTAAATCGCCTCTATAATCGGTATCTAAGTACCTAATAAGCCCTTTATTAAATAAAATATTATATAAAATGCCTATATTAAGTAATCCCTTAATATATTATATTATACGCTTCTGTATGGTATTATATAAAGCTTTAGAATACGAATTGAAATGTTCTAAATAGCCTATAGTAAAGCAGAAATCGGGTCTTAAAACTAAAGAAGGCTATATAAATAATCTAGTTCGACTTTAATATTCCGTAATATTAATATTGGTTCTATTAGGTACTATAGGTTTGGCTATTAGAGTAGTAATTAGTATATACTCTTCCATTTTATATCTTAGAAATATATTTATAAGATATTAATTTTGGTATAAAAATACCGAACCGTTCCGTAAACATATAATTTCTATATCTAGAAGCGTTTTGATTTCTCTTATATCGGTTATATTAAACTTCTAATATAATTGAGCCTTGATTTTATTAATATAAACTATATTTTTTCTAATAATAATTATATTATCTATATAAATAGTAATTAAAAGTGGTAGTTAATTAACCTCGTATTTCTGGTAGATATAAAGTACTAGATTACTAAGTAATTACTAGAAACCAATAGAATAGAAAAATCGATTAATTACCTAATATCAAACCCTAGAGGCTTATTTCAGGCTATAAATACTCTTTTGCAAGCGGCAAATAAGGTTCGTTCCTTTAATAAAACCAGGGGGTTGTTTTATATAGTATTCCTCTTCTAATTCTCTATATAGAAATACTATTTAAATATCTATTTATTGGATATAAAGCCCATATTTAGCCGCTAGGGCTAATATAATTATAATAGTAGAAAGTCTGGCTATAGAAGTAAAGGTTTTAAAGTAATCTATACTATATTCTTAAGTATAGCCTTATACTATAAGCCTAGATTTGTAGTATCTATTAGACTTAATTTTGAAGATCTAGTAGTATCTAATAATTTTTTGATATTTTTATACTACTAGATCCCAGGTATAGTTCCGTAAATAGGAATCTAGCTTCTTCTTAATTAAAGGTCTCTAGAGATAAGTATCTGGACCAGAGAGAGCTTTTTTAATTAATAATGGAATTTTGGAAGCTTTTATATTCTGATTAGTAATTAGTAAAGTATAGTAATCTACTAATTTCCCGGTAATTCTAGTCAATTTCGGACGTCTAGAGAGTAGTTTACTTCTAAAACTAATTATTTCGGGCGCCTCCTAATTTGTAGAATTCTGTTTAGAAGTACCTATAGATGCTATAGGTTCTTGGTTCTTCCCAGAAGGTAGTTCAGGAAGCTTGCTTAGGTCAGAAGTACCCGGAATTATATTATATAATATGTTTTTAGTAGTACCCCCTTCTATATTAGAGTAATTTCCTCTATTGTTTTCTAATAGATTATTAAGCTATTGATTTCTAGTATTAATAATAATAGTATCTCCGTAATCTATATTGGGGTTATCCGAATTATTAGTAGAATTATTATCAGATTCTATAGTAGTTTTTACTAGTCTTCTATATAGCTGGAATACTGGGTTTAGAAATAAAACTTCCTTAATATATTCTTTAATAGTATAATAGTTGGAAATAACGAATATATACTTATATAGGTTCCAAATTTAATATCCGGAACTACTATAGCTAGTAAAAATGCCTCTAAAGGCTTTGGCTATATATTTATACTATAAAGCTATTTCCTTAGATATATAGATATATACTAAGAAACCGAATATCTATAGGTTAGAAATATCTGGTTTAACTCTATAGAATGCTTTATATAGGGTTATTTCTATTTTGGATAGGTAATATTAATTATAGATATAAATTTTATATATAGTAGCTTTCTTTCAAAACTTGTATAATAGGCCCGATTATTCTAGCTCTATATACTCTGCTTTAATAATTATATATATACTATATTTAGAAATACTATTCTATTCAGGTATATAAATAGTAGTTAGTTCTAAGCAAATACCTTTTAATTTATACTATTTCTTGACTTGGCCTAATACAAATTCCGGAATATTATTAAGATATAGGCATTTGACTTTATTTCCAGTTTAGGTTTTAGAGAAGATAATCTAATCTTAGAGATTGGTAAAATAGCTCTTTCTATTCGAATTATATATTACTATATAATATTTGGATTCCTTATAAGTAATAGATAGTATATAAGTATTTCTATAAAAAGAGGCTACCTTTAATAACCCTTATATATTAATTATAATATACTTTCCTAAAAGCAGTTTTTTAGGATATAAATCGTTTATACTAGCTCTAGTAATTTTATTTATATTATAGGAATTATAATTAAATAGGTTTTAATTTTTGAATTAGAGTCTATTAATATAGTTTACTAATTCCAGAATATACTTTATATTTAAATAGCTATATCTCTAGTACTAGGTTTCTAGAGAGGCTAGTATATCCGATTTTAATGATTTTAGGGTATGCCCTGAATTAAATTAGTTAAGCTAATATAATCCAGCAGATGGTTTATATATACCGGTTACTATAGTTATTCCGTTATTAATAATATAAGCTTTCCTAGTAAAAAAATTAATATTTTCTCTAGTTTGAGTAATTTTAAGAATTAATAATAATAATATATTTCGGAATTAGGGGCTATATAATATATTATTTAGCTATACTTTTAGCTCAGAAGTAGTTAATAAAATAATAGTTCCCTTACCTTTAATAAGAATTATAGATTCGTTACTAAGGGTAATAAGGAACGGTTCTATATCTTTATAGGTAATAAAGGAGCTTTTACTCTCTATAAAATAGTCTATAGTACCCGAATTAATATACTAGATATTTATAAAATCATTATTAAGTAATTGGCTACTAAATAGAATATTAAATATCGATTTTCTAGTAATTAATTTTTTAGTAGTATAGGCTTTTTTATAAATAGTTAATAGAGTTAATAGAGCTAATAGCGCTTTCTAATTAGTAGAATTAGAGTTCTTTTTATTAGAATTAAAGTAATTCTGGGCCAATTTATATATAGTATAATCTTTAATATTATATCCTTTAAATTTATAAAATATATAATAGGTATTTGAATCTCTTCTATATTTTGGCTTATTATTTAACTGATTTTTACTATTCCCTTAAATAGCTAGTACTTTTGGAGTAGTATCTGGATTAAAAGCGGGAGGTTTAGCCCTAAGCTTCTCTTTTTTAGTAAAAGCATCTGCTTTAAGTAATTCTAGCTTTAATTTATTAATATTAGCTCTAATAGAATTCAGGAGGGGCTTATATAAGTTATATTTCTTTGGGAGGCTATAAATCAGGTATCCGGATATAGAAATATCTGAAATCGATCTATTTATTCCCTTAATTTTAGCTACTTTATAACTAATACGATTAATAAAGTTATTTATTCTTATAATAGTATTAAATATAATAGTTTCCATTTATTAAAGGTATAGGGCTTCCTTTTAAGCTTTTAGCTATTTAGCTTTAGCTTGAATCAGGCTCCAAATTTGGTATATAAGCTTGATTTCCTTGAATTATTACCAGGTATTATAGGTAATAAGTAAGCTTAGTACCGCTCTAGCAATTGCAACTTAATAAGTAATTAATTTATTATTCTTTGGAACTACTTCTATAAGAGCAGAAGCTTAATTAGGATTAATAAATTACTATAGATCTTTGATAATAAAGAGGTTTATAGTATTATCTATCTAGGAATAGATATTATTATCCGAAAGAGGCTTAATTTTTATACCTTTATAGGTAATATGAGTTAATTTTTTGGAATCCGGTATATTGGATTTTGCAGAGAATTTCTAACCGAAAATGGCTATATTTTTGGCGAATTCTGCTAATATAAAGCCGAACTAATAGGTGAAATTTACCAAAATTAACGATTTTAATAATTTTGAAAATGGTTTTGGAATAGACAAGCAAGTACTAAGGTCAAGTAATACTTGGATCGCTTAGTAAAGTACTAGCCGGGCTCAGAACCTATTGGAATCTAATTAATATATTAGTAATAAATCGATATATTAGAGGTTAATAATCTGTAAAATGACTAGATATAGGAGAGTAAAGAGTAAAAAAGAAGAGGAAGGAATCTAAAGTATAGTTCTTATATACCTACTAGTAGGTAGCGATTTCCTCTAGTATATTATAAATCAGATAACTCATATATATTAGTAAGTGTTCCCTGAGCTTCTATAGTGAGTCATTATAAATGAGAATGGCAAAGCTAATATTAGTAGTTGAACCTGGTACTGGAAGGACTAGTAAGCTAGTACTAATTCAATACTTTTATAATTAAAGTATCTATTCTCTTATTTATTTCCTCGTTCTTTCTCTTTCTTCTTTTCCCCTCGTTATTCCGTTTAACGTTTATAGTATCTATTAAAGGTGATCTGCCTACGGTAGCTTTAATACACTTCGAGTATTAAGCCTAAGGCATTTGAGAGTTATCTATTATTTAGACCCTCTATTCGGATAGCTGTCTTTGAGGACTTTCGTATAGTAGCTAATAGGGGCATAGGAACCGATTTTGAGCCCATGGTTATATAGCGAGGGGCTTGAATCGGTTTCCTCTCAACCAAAGTGGTGGGGAGCCGTATTTAAACCCTTAATCCTCTAAAATCTTAGCCGGAAGGAAAGGCTTAATCGGGCGATGGAGGGCCTGAACCGGCCCCCTTGAATCCCAGTAGTGGGGAGCCAGATTTGGACCCCTTTAGATCTAAAAATAGGCTAAGCTCTATAAGCCCCTTTACAGTGCCACTCGTCCTTACGATGTGCGATTCTGCTTAGTCCTTGTTCTTTTTATAAGACTAGACAGGGGTTTTATGATTCCTGGAATCATAAAACCCCTGCTAGCTCTCAATCGATATTTACCTAGAAGAGGAGGGTATCTGCGGCATAAGGTTTGCGCGGGTATGCTTTAACGCCTTCCAGATCGCAGTCGTGGTTGGGGACAAGGCCCGAGCCAAGGTCTTCGCGGAGAGAGCGTATGCCGCTCTGAAGGTGCTTGCGGGTGATGATAACCCGACGACGATCGAGTTCAAGCATCTCGCTAGGCAGCTTGTGGACTACCACCTGTATGGTAAGAGGATGAAATGCTACGACGATAGCTGGGAGGCTCCCCAAGGGATATGCGGAGAGGAACTTGAAAACTGGCTCTGGAATACGGATGGGTGGTCGAGATATAGTTCCTATTGATGACTGTGAGGGCAGAGAGACTGGGGAAATTGGCTTTGCACAGTATCTTTTGGTGTGGCCAAATAATACACAACTTGATAAAAAAAGTCCTGCATAGAGTATCTATACCTAAAGCTTCAACCAACAGCCTTATCGTGACAGATTAGTCGCTGGGATACAGATCAGCCAAGCCTTTTCTGGACCGTTGCAGTATTCAAGGGAAATCCAACATGGCCTTCAAAATTATCCCAATTGAGAAAAAACAATCCATTCAGATCGATATCCTTGAGAGCTTACAGGCATATATCTGGTTTGCCGGATGTACCAATAGCTGCATCATTGGGGTGGCTGCGGGGCAATGGTGCGGGGTTTTGGGCGCTAGCTGCGGCTCTTTACCAAGGCCGCCCGACACACCAAGTCAAGTCGCATCATAATCTTGCATTATACCTTTGCTAATAGTTCGCGACTTGTTTTCGACGTCTATTTGTCCTCTAGGGGTTGGGCTTGATGTCTGCCACACGTATCAGCTACGAGGCTAGCGGAAACTCAATCATACGACCGTCGCCTTCAAGCCATCAGAACCCAAGGTCACAGGTCAAAATACAGCACTTGGGGGCGGGGTGCATAGTCTGGCTCCCAAGTAGAGGAGACGATGATAGAGGCATCAAATGCATTAGAGAGCTCTGTTGTTCTAATCAAGAGCTCCAAGATGGCGGGTATAACCATCCCGTTGTTGTCCTAAAGGTCAGCCCGAACAAATTCGGGGATGCAGTCTGTTCCATTGTACAGGTGAGGCACTTTTATTTATCTTTTCTGATAGTTACTGTTCTAATATGACCCAGGTGACGTCGAAAGAACGCAATAACAGATTCGACCGAATGCGAATCTCTCAAGAGAGACCGACCCAGCTTCCTCACGGTGACAATGACGGCGCAACCGAGCTGTATCTAGAGAATGGCACAATGGATAAGCAGTCATATGTGGTGCTAGAACATATCTTCCAAGTCCCAGCTTCGCGACTCCGCTCGTGCAGTTTTCGCAATGGTAGTTGTGCCTATGACTCCAGACTTTGTGCACAAAGCTATACACTGTTGATGGGAAGGCTTGGTTTAGAGCCAGAAGATTGGGTCCTTACTATGCATTTGAAACTTGGCATAGCAAATCTCGGAGAGACACAGGGTCGTCAATTTCAATCTCGAACCTTTAGAAACCGCGACGGCTTCGTCACTCAACCTCTGGCTCAGCAAAGTTTACGAGCAGGCCTTGCAATCCCGCGACCTATCCAACCAGTGGCCGCCACCAACCTAGTTTTCCCATCGCCATATCGATACACAGAAGAGAGTCGACTTCTCACTAACAATACATTTTCTAGAATGCCGCGAGTATATCATCAGCAATCAGCAAGTCGAGATTCGCATTACGATACGTATAGTGAATCTCGGAGGTTTGAGCAAAGTGAACGTGTGCCTCCGCCAGAACACAATAGTGAACATTCTATAGCTTTCGATCTTACTGTGCTCTTGGCTACGGGATTTGTTGTCTGGTGGCTTTGGAGCAAGTAGATGGTAGTGTAACAGCGAGGGGAGCGGCGATCGTCAAATCTCTGTTTTATGTGTACCTTGTTCCCTGAATTGCTTGCTCCATTTACTCGATGTATTTGACTACAACTAGTAAGATCTCTGTTGGGAATTGATCTATTGTACAACAAAGAGTGTGCCGCAACAGAGCAGAAGAGCCAGAATCTGCCCTTCCTCAGCCGAATAAGGTTAAGTGGCGGTGCTTACGACGGAGCCGCTCAGATCAAAAATATTTCGGCCTAAGGCTAACACATCCGTTTCGCTGGCGCTTTCGAGGCGTCCAGGGAGCAAATTCGCTAGCGTCAGGGCGCCGAATTTTGCTCTATTCGCTGGCGTTCGTCAAGAGCCAGCGAAACGGATGCGCCAATGTTAGGGAGCCAATTTCTACTCCCTTTTCAACGCTGGCGTTCCTCAGGCGCTAGCGAAATGGATGCGCCAGCGTCGGGGAGCCGAATGATGCCCCCTATCCCTAACGCCGACGTTCCTCAAGCGCCAGCGAAACGGATGCGCCAGCGTCAGGGCGCCAATTTTCTGCTCCTTTTTCAACGCCGGCGTTCGGCCCCTACTATCTCTCCCTATGATTCTCACCAGCGTACTAAAGGGTCGGAATGGGTTCCTATAATGATACTAAATATAACTATTATATCGAAGCCCAAATTGGCTCCGGCCCGTCAGCAGAGGAGCCGAAATGGGCACTCAACGCTAACTGGTATGGGGATCCCGTTTTGGCTCCCTTAAGTTCTCGATTAGCTCGAACTGCCTCTTACTCTCCTGTTTATCCGCTATACCTGTGCCAGCTACAGGGAAGGGTGACTACTAGGGGGCTAGCAGATTGAGTTCGCCATAACCTGCAGAAGAATCAAAGATTATAGAACTTCTCGGGAGGGGCTTAAGCTAGAGAGAAATCTCAGAAGAATTACCTACCGTAAAAGACTATTACCGGAATTATTAGTATAAATTAATAAGAATATTGTACCGTATATAAAGACAATTATTTCAAGTATATCTTTATTACCAATATGGCTAAAAAAACAAGGTTTATATAGAAAACCGAAAGTTCGTATTTATACTTTAAGGCCGAGTACTCTTAGCTATAATACTATAACTAAGAGTACATTTACTTATAAGACTATATCTCAGAATACTATAGGATAATATATACTATTTATTTATACTTCAAGCCAAAGTACTCTCAGTTATAGTACTATAGCTAAGAGTACTCGGGCCTGAAATATAAATAAAGTATATATATTATCTTATAATATATTAAAGTAATATACTTCAGATATAATTATTCTATAGTATAGTATTTCAACCCAATCTACTTGTAATTATAGTACTCCGAATCTAAAAATAGTTTCGGTTTTAATAGTCCTACTATTCTATATTAAGAACTCCTTAAGAACCCTATTAATAATAGCCTTTAATAATATTATATTATAACCTGAACTCGCTTAAGCCTTAATATCTAGCCTAATAGACCGGCTCACTAATCTCAGGCAGAATATTTGGTTTATATATACTAATTAGTATTTATATACTTTTTAGTTTATATATACTTCTTAGTTTATATATACTTCTTAATTTATATACTACTACTTGGTTTATATATACTACTTGATTTATATATACTACTTGGTTTATATATACTACTTGATTTATATCCAATTACTATACTATAGCTAGTACTAGTCTCTATAGTTATAATATCCCGTTTAATTTTATTCAAGTAATATTCTATAGTATTTATAAGCAAACCCGCTTATATACTCTTCTCTATATATCTTAATACTAAAATACTACTAGTAATAAATATATAGTTAATATTATAAAACTATTAGTACTAAGGAACTATTAGTACTAAGGAACTATTAGTACTATTAAATTACTAGTATAAATAATTTGCTAGTATAAAGAAACTATTCGTATTATAAGGCTATTAGTATTATTAAAATATTAGTATAAAATTTTTATTAGTACTAAGAAACTACTAGTATTATAAAACTATTAGTATAAATAATTTATTAGTACTATAAACCTAGTAGTACTAGGAAGTAATTAGTATAAACAAGTTAGTAGTATAAGAAATATAAATATTATTTACTTAAGGTAATAACTACTAGAAGGCCCTTATTATCTGGGTATATAGACTACTTAAAGGCTTTTACTATCTAGATAGTTCTATATTATCTAAGTCCTATACTATCTCAAGTAATACCTTGCCCTTATATAAGAATATAGAATAAAATAGTAATCCTTAAAAATAAGAGGAAAATAGCCTTTTTACTTACTTATAATTATTCTAGTAAAGCTATTACAATTTTAATAATATAGTATAAGTATTTCTCTTTTATAAATTATATTAATCTTTCTTGATTTTATATAGAATACTTACTACTCTATATAATTATATATAATAAAAGTTAAAGAAATTAAAATAAGGCTACTCGGAAGAAGAAACGGACTATTATTATAAAAGTATATAAATATAGAAAGCTTTCTGGTATATATATTATATTACTTATTTATTATAATAGATAATATACTACTTATTATTTTATTACTAAAAAAAATTAGCTACTATTAATAAAAGAAATAGTAATTAGTATCCTGAAAGCGGAAAGATTAAGCTAATCTTACTATAGTAGTAATTATATCCGCTCTTAACTAATCTACTTCTATATAATATTAATACCGAGCTTTAACTATAATATTTAAATAAGAACTATTAAATAACTTTATTATAGGAAAGTAGATAATCTGGATATAAAGATATAGTATAACTAAATATAGAATATAAAGATTAAAGAGGGTTAATAGAAAGAATTACAATTTTGCTTTATAGGTAACTTATAATACTATAGTATAGCTAGTATATAATATACTTCGTCTTTATATAGTAATATCCTGAACTATTAGTTTGAGAGATTAGAGTATAGCCTCTAAATAATATAGGAGAGCCAAATTAGACTCCTATAAAGGCGACCCGTCTATTTAAGTATTGCTTTAACTCTAGAGATACTACTTATATTATAGAATTATTAGACAGATCTTATACTCGAGCTAGTCTCATTAGGCAGGGCTTTACTTATAAATTCTACTCAAGAGTAATATATAGAAATTCATATAGTAAATTAGAATTTTAGTTATAGAGGTTTAATCCGTATTAAATATTAATTATTATATACTTATATAATTCCAGTTCAACTAAATATTATAAATATATCTTTAGCTGAATTAAAATCTTAATAACTTCTAATAATATATACTCTAAAGAGAAGTTATAAGATTAAAGAAATTAATAAGGGAAAACTTTAAATAGGGGTCGGAGGCCGACCTTATAGGCTATTACTATATAATTCTTAAAGTGCTATATGCCTTTAAGTAGTAGCCCTTTACTCTTATAAAGAGAATAGTAGCAGATAATCTACTATTTTACTAGTATTTCATATAAGTAAATATTCTTAATATAGTTCTATATATATAAAACCCGGCGAAATCTATATATTTGCTACTTATATAAGAGTACCTTATTACTAATACAAAATATATACTAGGTCTTTTTTATAATAAAGGGAAACTTACTAGCTAGTAAGAAGAAGTTGAGAGCGGAAGCGGAAGCGGGAGATTCTTTCTTAAGAGAATTCTTACAGGCTAGAGTCGACCGCCGCTAGCGAGTTATAAGCTCTCTTTATAAGGCAAGTATAATCTGGAGATTAATAGTATTAACCTTTTATATAATAATAGCTTAAGGGCTCAAGTCTTTAGAGAGATTATAAAGAACTAGCTATAATTATATCCATTTTTCGAGCTAATACTTAATAATAGGCTTGGCTTTCTTCTCTACTACAGGCTTATTTAGTAGCTAGTTTAATTGCCTTTTTATTATTTTATTATAGATATAGAAGAAGTAATTCTTCCTGTATTTGGCTTCGAGCTCGTCTTCCAGGCTCTTTATTATAGCCTTAAGCTACTAGCCAAGTTTCTTATATATCTTTCTAATCTTCTTGGGTATTTAATTAATAAACTTGTAATTCTATTTAATCCGGATATATAATTCTTTGAATTATTATTTAAGGGCGGCAATTTCTGGATTTATAATAAGGAGTTACTCTATTACTTCTTAAGGAACTTCTTTTAAAGTACTAGGGTTATATTAAATACTTATATAAGTAAAGGCCAGAATTAGGCTATTATTAGTAATATTACTCTCGAGATAAGCGTTTTATATATTAAATCTAACTGACTAATTATTATATACCTTATTAAAGACTTCTATAAAGGAATTATATCTTATAACTTAATTATATATTATATCTAAGGTCTTACCTAAAATAGCTATTAGCCTCGAAAAAGTTAATAATATAATATAGAATATATACTATTAATTATATTAGTATAACCTTAACGGAAATAGTAGCTTATTAGCCTGTTTTTAAAGCCTGTATTTTGCCCGAAACGGTTTAGGTAAAAGGCATATTTCGAATAGAATATAGATTTGGTCTTTAATTTTATCTAGCTATTTATAGTTCAGACTAACTTCCGAAAAACGGGCTGCTTAAGCCATTCCGGCTTCTAATAAACCTTTATTACCTTTATATTCTAACTTTCCAGGTTTATAGTAAAGAAGAACTCGGCGGATATATAACTATTAATAAGAATTATATTATTATAGATAGTATAGATTAAGATATAAGAAATTAGACAAAAAATAAGAAATAGATTTTTCCTAAAGAGAAAAGTTATACTATAAGAGACCGAGTTAGCTAGATTTCGAGATATTTTATAAGAGTAATATATGATTTGGGCTTATTATCTATTTCTTTATAGTTTTATAAGTAGACCTTTATAGCTAGTATATCTCTTTTCTTCTATTTCGGGTTCTATATAATCTAGAAACAGATATTCTTATAATAAAGTACCTTATACTTCTACTTTACCTCTTTAAACTTACTAAACTTGGTATTATCCGAGTTCTAATATAAAGGCTATCTATATATATTAAGCTCGGTTATATATTACTTATCTATATCTTCTATTATAGTAATATTTGTTTTATTACTATTATAACTATTATTCAAATAGCTATACCTATTTATATTTTTATTAGTAGTACTATTATTACTTCTATTATTCTTAGAATCGAAAAAAATATCGTTATTAGATCCAGAATTATTACTAGTATTACTATTATTATTATATTCGGGCTCGTTATTAGTATTAATATTACTATTATTATAATTATAATATACTACTTTCCGAGAATATGCCTTTTTACTAGTTTTTCCTCTCTTACTAAAAGAGTCTTTACTAGCTTTACCCTTTAATAAGTAAATAAACTCTATTAGTTAATTACTTATATAAGCTTGAAATAGTATAATAGTAGTAATATTATAATAATTATTTTTGGTAGAAAAGACGGATTTATTATAGGCCTAGTATTAGACAAGTATAAAAAGCAGGTTATCCGGTCTAGCTATAGGCTTAGGCTTAAATATAATATCTAGCTTAAAAATAATCTTAAATATACTATTAATATACTTTAATTATAGATTAATATATAATATAAAAATAGTATAAGAGAAGAATTGCCTTACCTTAATAACTTTATATTTATTATTTATATTTATATATTTGCTATTTAATTAGTAATAAAATATCTTGAAATCCTACTAGTATATATAAAATAATTTTAACTTTCCCTTTTTCTGCCTCTTTACTAAATAGTTTCTATAAATCTAGTAAAGAAATAATATTATTTTCTCCTTATTATAATTCTACTTAAAAATAGTAATATACTAATTCCCTAAATAATAATACTTATAGTATCTATTTCTGGTTAGCTTAATCTAATTAAATTACTAAGATTCAAGTTTTGGGAATATATTTTATTTATTTCTATCTAATATAATAGATACTAGCCTTAGTATTCTCAGTATCTACCGGCTATAGAAACGGATAATTATTCAAATTAATCTCTATCTAATTATAATTCTCTCTATTTAGTATTTTCTTCTTTCTTTCCTTTAATATTTAATTAGTATTAGTATGTTTTTTGAGAATATTCTCGAGTATATTAAAAGTATATATTACTAGTACTTAAATAATAGGAGCCATAATCCTATATAGACCTAAGAAGTCTTAATAGTAGTAAAGATATCCGCCGCCGAGAGCGAGGAAGGGAGGAGGAAGCTTTCGAAGATGGAATATAATAATAGCAGAGTTATAATAGTATAAGACCTGAATAGTAGTATTATTAAATAAGAACTATACTTAATATTAAAGGCAATTAATTCTGACTTCTATTATTCTATATTACTAGTACTACTTTAACCCCTTGGCTACTTCGAGTATAGGATAGCGATTCGTAAGAAAGCGGAGATATCTATTATGGTATTAAAATAGCTTAATAATACAATAGTCGATTGAGTTTATAAGGCAACGGATATATAAAGAGTCGACGGTTATATGAGGTATAGAGGGCGGCAAGAAGAGAATAAACTTCAAGGGTGCTTTATAGGGGAGGGAATTATAGTTAAAGGCAAAAGTAGGGAGAATGCCGGAACTATTAAGAGTTAGAAGAAGATAGATAAAGAAGGATAAGGTAAAAGAATCAAGTTATATAGTAATAGAGATATAAAGATCGTTTAAGAGATAGCGAACTTCGAGGGCCTTTATAAATGAGGGAATTATAGCCAAGACTACAGGACTTGTCGAGAATTTAAAGCCTCTAAGAGAAAGAAGATAAAGAGGAAATAGTATGAAAAAGAGTATATAAAGGAGATATAATAGTTACTAGAGGTCGAGAGTAGGTAGAAACCGCAAGAACTTATATATCCGGAAGCGGCTATAAGGCAGAAATAGACAAGTATTACTATAACTAATAAGGAGCCGTTTCTGGCTCCTGAATTGAGGATTTTAGTAGTTAGGATAATTAAAAATAGTAACCAGCAATTTTTGGGAGTGGAATGCAATAAGTCGTTACACTAAGCGAATCGAGATATATATACTATAGCCAGTATTTAGCGAGCAGTTAAAACTTCATAAAACAGCAACTAAACCAGCCGAATTAAGCGGCCCAAACCGCAGTATTTAGTTATATAGTATTATTTTATTATTTTATTATTTTATTATTTTATTATTTTATTATTTTATTATTTTATTATTTTATTAATAAATATCTTATAAAAATTGAAAATTTAAAAAAATATATAAAATTAAATAAAATCAAATAAAATTTAAAATTTAAAATTTAAAAAGAATTAAAAAGGCTTTATATATTTAATAAATAATTTATAAAAATATTATTTTTCTTTAATAATTAAATAAATTTATTATAATTTTTAGAATTCAACTTAAAATTATAAATATAAGTTTTATAAATAAAAATAGAGTTTAAAAAAAGCTATTAATATAAGTAAAGTTTATAAAAGCTTATAAAAAAACTATATATATATATAAATAAGAATTTAATAAAAGCTATAAATAAAGCTTATAAATTAATATTATTTTACTTGTTTTTTAAAAAAGCTTTTATAATCTTTTTATATATAATATATATTAAAAAAATACTTCTTTTAATAATTAAACGGCAAACTAGCTACTATTTTCAGGGAAGTTTGGCCGCTGCTTTCTGCAGCCAGCTTGCCAAAATCTCGTACTACTCTAACGCTCGTATATCTGGTAGCTAAGGCGGCACGACCCTAGCCGACTGCAGGAATACCAAAAATAATAACCGCTTCTCTATTCTCGTTTCTACTTTCTAAGAAGCCTTTTTATAGAGCAGAAATAGATCCCTACCATCTCCTCGGTAACTTAAGATAGCTGCAGATAGCCGCTATCCTATATCTTTATTTATCCTCCCTTCCTTCTCTATCTTCTTTCCTCCAAACCTCTTATATTTAACCGCCTTCTCTCGCTCCATTTCTCTCCTCCCTCTCCGCTGCTATTACTTGAGCGGCAGGCTCCTCCTTAATATCTTCTGGCTTATTTCTTTACCTTTAATCGCTATTGCTATTGCTATTGCTATTATTCCTTTTAGTTAATCCAGTCTATATATATTATTGCTAACTAATATTAAGCTCTTCTTCCTCTTCCTCTAGTAATAGATCAGATATCGAGAGCTGCTTTAATATAGGAGATAAGCAAGAGGAGACTGATACCGAGACCGAGCCTATAGATACTAATACTAATATTAACGGAGATAACGAGGCAGATCTGCCAGATCTAGTATAGCTTGCTCGAGAGAATAATACTAATACCGTACTAATAGACATTAATACCGGTATTAACGGAGATAATAAGGCGGATCTGCTAGATCTGAAGTGGATTGCTAGAAAAAAGAATATATATCCGCTAGAGTACTACCTTAATTAAGAGAATAACTCCGACAAATCCGAGAATAAAGATAAGAACTATAGTAATAGTAGTCTTCTTCTTCTGGATATAATTAAGAACTAGTTTAATTAATATATATTCTATTCTCTTCTTATCTGCCGTCTTTTACTATTAAATTACTAAGCTAACTCTCTTTAAAAATACTGCAAATATATATAAAAGAATTCTATCCGGATAATATAGGCTATCTTTTGCCAGATATTTAAGGCCTTTTTCGAATAGATATTAAATTAATATTAGGGGAAGAGTAAAAGAAGGCTTATAGGTATTAAATTAGCTAGAATACTCGGGATATACTAGAAGATCTTCCGGCTTATATATAAATAAGTAACTAGAGAGAAGATTAAAGGGAAGCTAAACTATTAAATATATTAGATAAGTAGTATATCTTATCTGGCCGCTTAATTTAGTTCGAATAATTATAGATAAGAGGCTAATATAATATCCTTATTATAGGTCCTTAGGAAGCTAGTAAAGAAGTACTATCTATTAACGAAAAAGTGTAAGAAGACGGCTATATATATTAAGAATCTTATAGAATACCTCTAGACTAATCTAATTATAATAAAGAAGCGGTTTATATATAGCCGGTAATATATCTAGCTTATTCTATTTTACTAGCTTATTAGGTTTTCCGGAAACTGCCTTTTAGTACTTCTTAAGCTCTACTACTATAATATTATTATAATTCTGCTTCGGAACTCTAATAGTGGCTTTTATTAGATCTTAATAAAATTTATCTATAAGTTTATAAAGCAATTTCTTAGTATAAAAAATATATAAGTTTTTTAGCCTATTTTCTTTCTATATCCTCTTCTTATTTATATCCGGCTTAAATACTATTTATATATACTTTAGAATTAAATTAATTTTTCCCGAGATTATCTTTAATTCTTCTTTTATCCTAAGCCTATATGTCTTTCTCTTAGGCCTTACCTTTACTAACGGAATATTTGCAGCTTTAAATCTCAGGTCTGCTATATAATTAAGTAAACTAGATATCTGATCTGGCTATTAATAACTGGAATTACTTTTTAAGCCAAGTATACTTAATATTCCCGTCTTTAGAAAGTCGGTTAAGACAGGATATAATTATAAGATCTTACTATATAAGCCTCTAACTTATATAACTCTTTTATTACTAATAAAGGTTATTAGCCTTATACTTAAGTTCCTATAACCTATATACTTATACTATCTCTATTATAATACCGCTAATAAATTTAACTAGAGCGGTAAGTACTTTATATTTCTATACCTATATCTATAGCTAAGAGCTAATAACCTCTATATAGGTAATATAACCGATATTCTTTAGAATATAATACTATAATATATAAGTATTAATACTTTTATTAAGTACTATCTCTCGAGGCGGTCCAATAATATCCGGGCTATTATATCTAGCTATAAGTATTATAAGTATAAGATCTAGAGTCTAGAAGGTATAGTTAGACTATTTCTATTTCGATAATTTAAAGCTAAAGAGAAAAAAGAATTTCGAAAAAGCCTCGGATCTAAATAATTGCAAGCTATATATAGGCCTATATACTAGCTTAAGCTCGGGGTCACGTATAATTATTAGGTAACTACAGATATTATACTCAGATACTAGATACCTTACTTAGATACCAGATATCTCACTTAGATATCAGATACCTAGCTAGCTCTAGTCTAATTCCTACTAGTATTATATATTATAATAACTATAATATTACCCCCTCTCCTTAAAGTAAGCTTATTCCCGAGCTTCGAAAGTTCTTATCGAATTCTCAAGTTATAGTTATATATAAAAGGCCAGGGCCTTTTATATATAACTTGTAAGGATTTCCGTCTATATTATACGGTTCCGGTAGTATATTATTCTTAGTATAATCTAACTAATAGGGGAGGTTCTAGGGCGGTTCTAGCTATTCGGGGTTCTTATTATAAAAGCTCTAAAGAGCTAAAGCACTATTATTTAATAAGAATATAGGATATTACTTCGGATCTAGATTCTATTCTTTTTACTAGACTCGGTATTTAAGCTTCCTATAAAGTAGCTTTACTACTAGTATCTCTTAAACTTTATATTCCGTTTCCCTATCTTATAGTTCTAATAGTAGAGGCTTCGGATTTGCTTGTCCGGAAAGGGGGTTACCTGGATCTTTATATAGCTTCTCTATATAAAATACCGGATATATTCTTATAAATTCCGGAAGCTTAAGCCTAAAAAAATACCCTACTTATTCCAGAATTTCATATAGTTCTTCTATTTAGTAAGCTAGCTTGCGGCTCGGATAATTATTCTTTTAATACTTAGTAGTAATTTATACCTTATCTTTTATTCCAAAATCTACTAATTAATAGTACTTATTAGCTTAAATAATATAATATTCTTATACTTATATTATATTTTCTTATATTTTTTGCTATAATTTATAAAGCCATATTACAAGGGCCTTTACTTCTTATCTATTTAGCTTTTTCTTTAAGGTATCTAATTATATTTAGGTTTCCTAATTAAATAATATCTGTAGTTTATAGCCCTTTTTTATAAGGAATAGGAATTAGCTTATAGTCTTATAAACTAGAGCTATTTACTAGTAATTAATTATTACTACCTATTTATTCTAATTATTCTAGTAATAATTTATATAGGAATATAGCTATTAGCTAAAATACTAGTTAATAATCTCTATCTAGCTATTAGTTTAGAAATAGTTAGTAGTTAATAACTTAAGCTTTATACTAATATACTTATAGAACTTATTTTAGAAATCCGATATAAACTAGGGGCCTTAATTAAATACTATAGTTTCCGGGATACTAACTTAACAAATTATATAAATAAGAAATAGGGGTACTAATTCTTTAGCTATTATTATATCTCGGACAGGAATTATAATAGGGTACTTGCCCAGATAATTAATAAAGATTATTACTATATTATACTTATTTTTACTTTCTGGATACTTTTTAAAATCTACTAATATATATTACTAGAGGTAGTTAGAAACTAGTAATAAATATAAGAGCTCTAGCCTTCTATTTCTGGGAATATAGAATTATTAGTAGGTATAATAATTATTTCTATACTAATTAATATTTATATTTTAGCCTAGCTAGTAATAGTAGGCCTAAAAAAGCTATTAAAACTTAGCTTATTCTAGATATTCTATTAGAAGCTATATATATACCTTCTAAATAAGGGTAATATATAGGGATATCTCGGGCATTATTATATTATTAGATATAAATAATTTACTATATTATAAGAGAAGGCTATCTTATAGTATTTAAGTACCTTTCTTCTTATTTCTTACCTTATTCTATAATTCTTCTAGCTCCGGTAACTTTCAGTTCTTGCTTAATAGCTTGTCTACTAGCTAGATACTATTATACTGGGTTTCTTCCTGAGCCTGGCTTACTAAGGCTTTAATTAGGGCTAATTAGAGATCCCGTATAATATTATTATTAATCTTTTATTATAGGAGGAAAATTTGGGTTTAGTAAACTATTATTATCTTATTTTAGGTAATTATATTCTTGTATTTCTTATTTAGAGTATCTGCTTATTTATTTAACTTGCCTATCTAATATATAAGCTTAAAATAATAGCGGGAAAAATACTTTATCTAGTAAGCTTATTTTACTAAAAGCTTCTTTATAGTTATAAAGTACTTAAGGATTTAGTAATTTAAGTAAATTATAAAAAGTATCTTTTATAGGCTTTCTAGTTCCGCTTACTATTTAGTTAAGAAAAGAATAATAGCAAGTATCTCTTTATTATAAATATTATAGTTTAGCTTTACTAGCTATATAGTTTTAGAGAAAAATACTACCGGATACTAGAGTTCTATCTAGAGGTCTTACTATAAGAGAATACCGGCTATAACTTTATTTAATATATTTGTCTTAATTATAATAGGGAAGTTCGGGTTATAGTAATATAGAATTAGTACTAAGAATATAGCTTGCTTTAGCTTTATAAAATCTTCTTAATACTAATCTATTTATTTAAATAGAACTCCCTTATATATTAGAGCTATTAGGGACTTTACTATATAGCTATATTCTGTAATAAAGTACTAATAAGAATTATAAAAGCCCAGAAAGCCTTATATTTCCTTAATTATCTTTAGTAGTTACTAGTTCTTAATAACCGCTATCTTATCTAGATCTACTTTAATATCTCTAGTAAAGATAATAAAGCCTAGATACTTTATATAAGTAATCTTAAACTCTAATTTCTTAATATTTACTTAGAGGCTAGTATTTTATAGTTATTAAAGAATCTTTTATATATAGTCTTTATATTTCAGGGAATTATTCGAGTAAATTAGGATATTATTTAAATAAGCTATATAAAAGATATTAAGGTAATTAAAAAAGATATTATTTATATACCTCTAATATATAGTAGGGCTATTAGTTAGGCCTTCCTAAAGAACTTTATATTTATAGGCCTTATATCTTATATAAAATATTATAAGTTCTTCTAATTCTAGATTTATTCGAATCTAATAGAATACTTACCGGATATCTAGCTTTATATAGACTTTCGCTTAAGCTAGCTATATAAGAGTCTTATAAATAAGAGAAAGAGAATAATAATTCTTCTATATTAAGTTATTTAGCTTATAATAGTTTATATAGAATCGGAGAGCTCTATTAGCCTTTTTTATAAAGAGAATCGGGGATATAAAAGGGAACTAGCTTAATTTAATAAAGCCCTATTAGAGGTTTTCTTTAAGGAAACGCTTGACCTTCTATAGCTTATAGATTAACTATTAATAAAGCGGGAAATACCCTAGGCTTTCCGGGCCTTTAGAATTATTAATCTAAATCTTATAGTTATATAGCTAATATAGGAATAAGATATTTAATATTTTCCTTAAGAAAATATCTGCAAAATCCTTAAATTTCTCTAGTAAGACTTTTACTAACTACTATAGCTTCGTCTCTTCTAGCTATTACTTATCCGGAACAAACTCATTCTCTTACTATAATTCTAGCTCTTTATTAATCTCGAAAAATAATATTATAAAGAAAAGGTTCTTCTTTTTCTATAAATTTATCTAGAAAGTAACTAGAAAGATACCTATAATATTAATTATAGACCTTAACTAGATCTTATAGCTTTTCTTTAGATAGTATATCTTTAATATTTCTATCTCTAGCTTAAGAGAAACTTCTATATTTCCTAAGGCTACTTATATTTCTTTATAGTATTAAGCTTAATTCTTTTATTATATATAGCTTTCTAAGCCCGGCTCAGAAAAAGAATAAGGGAGTTTCCTCTTTATAAGCTAAGGTTTCTAGAACTTATTTATAGCTATAGCTTTATTTCTTCTATCTGTATTTTCTTAATACTAGTTACTTTTCCCAGATTTCAAGTTCTTATATATAGTAGTTAGGACCTTATTCTAATTCTTCTTTCTAGGCTAATTATCTAGCCAGATTAACTTTCTATTCTTATAATTAATTAGAATACTAGTACTTATAAACTATTATTATTCCAAAATTATATTATATTTGCCTAGTTCTATAACTAGTATAGGTATTAGAACCTTCCGTCTATTAATTAAAAGTATAAGCTTAATATAGTAAGTAATAGATACGGCCTACTTACTATTAAATTCTCTTATATTATAGGATAATACTAATTAAGTAGGCTTAATATCTAGAAATTATTTAATTATTTTTATAAACTTGAAATTAATAAAGATATATCCGTTTACTCTAGTATTAATAAGAGAAGAAGTCTTAATACCTAATTTATTATTACTAACTATATAAGGAAGTATAAATGCTTTATTTTCTAGTAACTAGCTTAAATTAACTTCTACTATATTTATATAATATAGCCCTAAAAAGGAGACTTCTTTTAGAGGTCCTTATTTCTCTGCTCTATATTCTTAGATAGCTTACTTATAATAAGTACTACTAGCTTGGCTACTAAGACTTGCTTTATATACTTTATTTTAGGCTTTAAATAGTTTCTAGATATATAATTAAATCTATTATAGTTATAATACTTGAGATCTAAGAATTCGGGCTTTAGAATAATAGGTTTATCTATTACTAGGGTCTTAGAAGCGGGCTTTATATAAAGGGCGCCTCCTAAGCTTGGCTTATCCATATTTTTATTAGCTTTCTTAGATATTTAATTTATTTATTTATAATAAGCTTGAATCTACTAGTTATTTATAGTATAGTATTATATAAACTTTATAGTATAAATAGCTGAATTATTATAGTATATAGCTATAGCCTCTTAGAGCTTTCAGGTAAGCTTATTATTTAGGTTATTCTTAAGATTCTATAAGTTAATATTTCTATTTACTATATATCTTAGAAATAAAATATAGAATTCTTAGAAAGTCTGGCTTTTCTTTATAAATAGTTTCTTAAAGGCTTATCGAGTATTATACTTCTTATTTGGGTTACTATATAGCTTCTCTAGGTAAGTATATAGTTCTCTAATAGTCTTATATATATATTAATTATTCTAATTCAGGCGGAAAGAGATTAGTATAAGAGTATAGCTACCTATATAGCCGGAAATATAAATAATCTTAAGGTTCTCTATCTAGTAAGTATTAGAGTTACTATAGAGCTTGTTCTTAATCTAAACCAACTAATTATTAAAAGTAATACTATTCTTAGTTATGCCTTTAAAGATAGGAGAATTAGAGAGTTTAACTAAGTATTTACTTTCTAAAATAGAGGAACCGGTTATTTCTATAGGCTATATAATAAGCTTCTTAATAATAGCTTTATTCTTTTATAGGGCTTACTTAATTTCTCTTAGCTAATTATAATAATTCTTGCTATAAGCAAGGATATTATATATCTTTAGAATTAGCTTAATAATCTCCTTATATAAAGCCTCTAGATTCCGGAGTAACTCTTAGAAGTCTGCCTTTAAAAGAGCAGGTCTCTCTTCTTCCTTAGCTCTTTAAAAAAAAGTATCTCTTCTACTATAAGTATTAACGGAATATTCGGATCCCTTAGGAAACTTAATAAGAGGCTCTGGTCTATCTTCTAGTAATATACTAGTAGCGTTTTATACTATAGCTTCTTCTAACTTGCCTAGTTATTCCGGAACTTACTTTCTTATAGATCTTCGTTTAGTAATAAGGTTACTAGCCTATCCGCTTATCTAGCCGGTCTAGGGCTTTCTTGCCTAGTTATTCTAGGGCTTTCTTTTATTCTAATATTAGTTAACCGGTACGGGAGTAGCTATAGTGTATTACGTCTATACTCGTTAAAAAACTAATTGGGTAGATATTATTTAAATTCTTTACAGGATTAAAAAGTAGAAAAGCTTTAAATTATATTACAAGTATAAGATCTAGAGCCTAGAAGATATAGTTAGACTATTTCTATTTCAATAATTCAAAGCTAAAGAGAGAAAAGAATCTCGAAGAAGCCTCGGATCTAAATAATTGCAAGCTATATACAGGCCTATATACTAGCTTAAGCTCGGGGTTACATATAACTATCAGATAACTACAGATACTATACTTAGATACTAGATGCCTAGCTAGTTCTAGTCTAATTTCTATTAGTATCGTATATTATAATAACTATAATAATAAGCCCCAGAAAGACCTAATATAGGCCGCCTCTCGGATAATGCAATAGATTAATTCCGGTCGCTTGCAGGCCCTTATAGTTAAGCAGTCCCAGTCCATAGATAAATACCGCCGAGTCCGCTAACTTCTCGTACTATATATAAGGTGAAACTACTGCTATAAGGGCGCAATAACGAAATAGTCCGGATATCAAAGCCTAAGTAGCGAGATTATTAATCTAAGGCAGTAATTAAAGGCTATACTACTTAAGTAGCTCTAAGACAAGTGGGATACAAAATACCCTATAAATAAGGTCGAGCTATAGCTTACTGGGCTTAAATTCTGTAATAACTCTGGTACCAGTATATCTATAGTTAATAAGATACCCCTAATATAGAAGCACTTGGCCGTAACGGTTATAACCTTGCCGGGAACGACTATAGAGAAGGAGTTCCGCCGGTATAATACTATAATCAGCACTATTACTACCTACTACCACTTCCAAGAAAGCGGAGCTATTACTATACTATATAGGAGGCCGTCTATGCGAAAGGCGAGTCCGACGCCGGTAAAAGAGATTAACCCGCAGCTGGCAGTTACTAAGGCTAAGAAGCAAGCGTTAAGGAATACTATACTATTAATATTTATAGAGAAGAGGACCACTACCTGCTTCCTCTATTTAGGGGAGCAGAGCTTGCCGTTCGAAAAGCGTACCTACAAGTTTGCCAAGCCAGGAAACTTGATAAAGCACTTCAAGCGGAAGTATCTAGCCAATATTAAAAAAGGGGATCTGCTCGAGTATAAGGTCTATCAAATATCTCTCGAATATAAGATATATCTTCAGAATTATACAGAGCGTATTTACGGGACTATATTCTAATACTTTAGTAATATACTAAGAGTATATAGCTATATAGCTCGACTTTTTATTTCTTTCTTTCTCCCTCTATTATTAGGTATTTGGATATAAATTAGCAGTGGTACTATATATCTTTTATTAGTCCAAATATATAACCTTGGATTTCTATAATTCTCTCTTCTTATCTTTATATACTTGTATATTTACTAATTATAAAAGTCACGTGAATGGGAGATTTGGCAAGTCAAGTGATCTGTGACTAACGAGTTCGTCGAGGATCATGAGGGCATACCAACGCGATAGGGGGAGTACGCTTAGATGCGTATACGGTGTACCGACTTGTGGTAAGTTGGGTGACCTCCGCCCGAGACATGGTAGCACGAGGGCGAGCCCGAGAAAGAATTCTCAACACCTGCCTGAGCCAGGCAATCTCATCCGTAATGTCGGAGCGATACAGCTGTGAGCGAAATCGGTGTCCTGCTCGTCAAACACTTTAAAGAATAATTTAAGCGCACGGTTCAGCTAAAGGCGGTGCGGATTAAGTTTAATCCGCGCACGGTACTTTATGGACCCCGAGATACAATCTACCTCTAACGCCCTCGAATTAGGCAGTAGTGATGCCACAACTAGCTCTTCTACAAACCGCCATGAACGGCTCGACCGCAATGGCGCCAAATCTCACATTGCAAGGATACTTTTGTACTACAGTATTAACTAATGCCTCCCCCCCCCCTTTTTTTTTGGACATAATCCAATAGTTTCATTTTTGAAGCATTGCTGCCTTACAGCCTTAACGAAATCGGCTCATACAGTACAGAGAAATATGAACATTAGAATTTTCCTGGTGCGATTATAATGTGACTCAGTTCTCATCCAGGGTCGGCACTCTTTTAAGAGAGCATTGTATCTCTGCAATGCTTGGTAACTTCATATGCATCTGGAGACAGCGCCGTGTTCGAAAAGGGAAGTGATTGGCAAGATTGGCGCTTGGTGCTACTAGCGGGTTTCAGGTGACCCGTTTCGGCCACCAGTGCGGCTGAAGCCGAAAATTTAGACCTATCCGTATATATATTTCGTGGGAAGTCTCATCGTCTTGCCCAGGCTCCCCCAGCTCTTGACCATGGCAGTACCAACCTCACTTGCTCCCTCCACATCAACTTGCCACTTTGTCTCAATTCCAGCTACGACCTCGACTATTGTCTACACGAGCGGTGAAGTTGGTCTCTTTCCGCAGACCACATACACAGCATTGACGACCTCGTTCATAACGCTATCGTCGGACCTGGTAGTAGAGTGCGATCCCTTATATCCGGGCGAGACTTCCGTATCGATCGCGGATCTGGGACAGACCTGCTCATCGACATGGCTCCCAGCGACAACTGAATATATCACCTACACGTCGGGCCAACTCAACGTCTTCTTTCTGACCACGTACACTGCAGCTTCAACTGGCACCATCGTTTCTGAACCCACAAATTTTGTAACCTGCCAACCTTTGCCCGACTATCAGAATCAAGCCACCTGCCACGGAATCTCCCCCTTGACTTGGACTTCACTCGTCATCACATTTGTCTCGGTTCAGCTTACATGGTGGATCTTCGAACTGCCGCTACTGTGGAAGGAGAACGCCGGCTGGATGACCTTCTTCGATGCGGTATCCTGGGCCTGTGTGCGGTCGCATTCTCCAGGTAGCGCAGCCGCTATCGCAGTCATGAAAGGCTCTGACGCATCCGAATTTGCTCGGATATACTATCTTGGACTTAGACGGAAAACAGCGCCAGACGAATGGATAAAATGGAAGTTGTACACCAGTATTGGGGTAGATTTGATGAGCATCACCGCTACAGTCATAACAATCTACCAGGCTTGCACGCTGCCGCAATATGATCCAAGGCGCCACTTCGGCCTGAGTCTATGGGTGTATCCAACCCTCCCAGTTGCTTTGATTGGCCTCTGCCTCCTTGCTGGGGAAAAGCTTGCCCCTCGTACGCATCATGCGAGCCGGCGTCTATTTGCATTTACAATTTCTATTCTAGGACTCACCGCAACCGCCGTTTCCCTCGTTCTCTGGAAATTTGCCACGACTGATGAGAACGGCACTTGGTGGATTTCCCTGGTCTTCTACGTTTTAATGATCCTGCCGTTGTTATTCCTTGCCAATCTACTGCCTGGTTTCTTGTACGAGATACTTTGGCCCGCCTGGTCCAAGGTTGGATGGTTTTTTTGGTGCGTGGCCGCGTGGGTGGTTCGCGTTGGCGGGGTGAGCATTGCAGCACTGGACCACTACAGTGGTGGTGAGCCGTATTGCAAATTTGCAGGACCTGGTTTTGCCATTGTTTACATGATTTTGGGCGGCCTCGCCGCTGTTCTGGCTTGGGGGGGCATATTTTATCATGCTGGCCCTTATTTAGGCCAGCCGAAAATAGCTTCAAGAGGCGTACAAGGCTCCTAGATGTATTCCGGCCTGTTCTGGGTTTGCACTGGTACAGCTCAACAGCTCCATTCAGGTATATATTAAAGGATATATACCTTAATACTTAGGCTATAAGTTAGCTATTATAGGTGTTTTCCTACGCTAGAGCCTAACTTTTTATTCGATATATTGCACCTGAAACTCCACTTTTACCAAGGGATCTTTATAACCTAAATGCCCCTTTTCAGTGGCAAATACGACAAGGGCGATCTCGTGAGCGGCGCCGCCTTCCATTTCTGCCTTGCTGCCTAATTCGAGCTCCGGCGCTCCGGGTTCTAGTAGATTGTATATCAGGGTCCCATTAAGTACAGTAGAAGGCGAATTGGGTGTCGCTAAGTTTTAAGTTAATTATTTTTAGCGTGGATCCATTTCCAGACACTTGTGGCTGTGCACCCCTGTCTGGTTGTACTCCAAAGGTACTGTACCGCTACTGATGGTCATCGCAGCGCAGAGCCAATTCTTGCCCATTCTACGCCTCATGCTCAAGCTTACAGGTTCGCAGTCTGATGACTTCGAATTAACCTTACAGTACAGTAAGGTTAGAATTCGAAGTTCATTTCGAATTGCTGACTTTTCATGATGGATATTACGCATAACTTATAGACAACGAAGCTTTTGGTTGTTTGTGTATGGCGACAAAGAGGGCTTAAATAATGTAGCAACTAAGATAACTTTCAGAACTTGTATGCTACAAGCTTCGACCACCACCCAAAACGATGAACGATATAAGTGCGTCTCAAAACAACCGTATTAGTCCACCCAGTCAAGTCGCTCTTGAATCCTGTCATACGCCAACGCGGGATGTCAAGTTCTGCGCGAAAAACACATTGCATTATTCGTTCAATATGCTTCATCAAATATGCCCCCAAAGATTCCACAAGCTCTTTTCTGGCTCTACGTCGGCAGCGCCCCGATGACGAATCTCGTTGAGCCTCCGGAAAATCTCCTCAACTTCTGCGCATTGAGATAGATCAACGAGAGCCCATTTAGCCCCCTTGGTGAGCTTCAGCAGCGCAACTATCAATACGAACACTATGATCTGGTTTGTGACATCAGTGTCTACACAATTTGGGCACATACAGGAAGGAAACTTACAGTCAAATACGCCGATACAAAAGGCACCCTCTGAAAGCCACGCCACAGAAATGCCCCGTTAGCGACAATTAAAACCAACAGGCATGCGAAGAGAGCAAAAAATCCGGTCACGGGCTGGCCGTGGCTGCGGAATGGGTAATCGTCGTCAATACGTTGGAATCGGCGAACTTGCGGGAAGCGCTTCTCCTCGAGGGTAGGGGCGTGACGCTTCACGCTTTGTAGTAATGAGTAGACGCCATCTATAAACACGAAGGAGACTCACCAGTAGTAGAAGCGAAGGAATGCCCAGCACTCACAAGCCCAGACGATGATCACACCGTCTGTTCCCATTTGGCTGAGCGCCTCAATGAACTGTAGTGATTTAGCAGGGCGTTCATGGTGTAAGCAGGAGTAGAACGTACCATGCCGATAGGACTCGAAGAGTCTGATCCCCCTGGTGCCAATGATATAAGAGGGACCCACCAGAAAGCGACAGCGGAAAAGATCATAGCGCGCATTGGCACATTTCTGTTGTTCGTCTTGCCAAACCAGGCAAGTATACGTTTCCACGGAGGGGCACCCTCTCCTCCTCTTAGACGACTGGCCAGGCCAAAGAAAGTACGCGACGCGACATACAGATTGGTGTTTGCACACGTTATGGCCGTGAAAATGAGGAAGATGTTGATTGCCGATGCCAGCGAAGGAAGCTGTGATCGTTTCGCAATGGCTACGAAAGGCGCCATGCTGGGTCTGTTCGCCTTGAAAGGTATGCCATTCTCAGCACACAGTAGCTTTCCATCGCTATCTACTTTTTTGATCCAGCTTTGCCGAGTCAGCAGACAATCGTCGTGCTCGATGTTCGAGGCTACTAGAATCCCGCCAACAGTGTACGCGATCATCGCAAACACGGGGATCCAGACGGCCGCGAATCTGATCGTTTCACCGATCAACATGGCGCTCTGGCGCTCGGCGTCATGACCGCCCACATTGTTTGGCTCCTCGTCATCAGATCGCCTGGATGTTGGCCACCGAGCTTCAAGCGCTGATGCTGCAATGATTTCGACGCCGACATACGCAAAGCCAGCCACTGACAATGTCATGAGGAATGCAATGAACCAGTCAGACGCAGCTTGCGTCTCATACGGTGTAGGACTATTCCAAAATCTTGCGCCAATGTGCCCCCCGTCTGCCACTGGATCATTGCCTGCTCCTGCATTGATGGCAATCATCGCGATGATGATCACAACGAAGACAGAAATCTTCATGCTGCCCACAACCACCTCCACTAACCCGTACACTTCCACTCCTAGTGCGTTGATGAGCACCAGGATCAGAGGCACCACCACAAACATTATAGCTCCTTGTATGCCTTTGCTATTATTCCAATATGTGACTTCGGCGGCGGTCGTTGCGAGAAGGGCAGCGAAGGAGACGGAGTACGTAAACCTGCAGAATTCAGCCACACAATTGCTCGGTGGAACAGAGTACAACATACCAATAAGCTATACCGACAGCAATACCAAGCTCGTTGTCCACAAACTCGCTGACGTAGATTGCCATGGCTCCTGGGACCGGCCAAATACACAGGAGTTCGGTGATACACTGCATCACCGTCCAAGCAATAAAACCCATGATTAGGAAGGCGAGGACGACTGCGAGCGGGCCGCCCATCTCAACGATATCACCGCCTCGCCAATACAATCCAACTCCGAGGGTTCCATTGATGGTAACCATCTGAAAACAAGTCAGCTGTGCTCGAACTCATCTCATCTTGGAAGACTTACAAACAAAGCTAACGGCCCAAGCCAACGATTGACGGATCGCGAGTTGTCAGGCTGTTCTTCTCGGGGCATGCTAGCGGGAACACGTTGCACTTCGACACTCTTCTCACTCGGAGAGGATCTGCTCGAGCGCGGTCTCGACCGAACCAGCATCTCCATGGAGTCGGCCATGTTACCGTGAGGCAACAAGAAGCCGCTGTAGGGCTCCGCGTGTGCGACGATTACAACCGGACAGCAGCGGTGGATCGGTGGATTTTAAGGCTGGTGTGACAGGTCAGGGGAAGACAGATGTCGTGGACAAGCTCGCGCCCGTCATAGGTAGTGGAACATACAAGGCTGAAAGACCCTCTGGACTAGTACTGCCATCACATTATGACTCCTAACAAGACAGGTGGCTGCCTGCCCCACGGTAACAAGGCAAAAGGGGAATCCACAGGGCTGTGCATTTCTGCCCGGCACTCGGTCACAAGGTATCGTGTCTTGCGCAAGCTCCCGGCCCGATACGCACGTCCCGCGGGCTGAAAAGATATAGCCACGTTGAGTCCGCCGTACCGTTAAAGGATCACAGCCACGCGACTGCCCCCTTTCTCATTCTTACCAGTCTTCTGCTTCGATCATGGCGCTCTCACGGCAGACAGTGTCTAAGAAATACATGCTGAGAGATGACTTGGAAAAGCTGCTGAAGGGCCTGTTCAAGGGCCAGAAGGAGTTCAATATCCGCGTATGCATCACGTACAGAGTGCTGCATTGGCTCGTTGACTAAACCGCTGGTAGATGGCGAACGACATATACTCATTTGACGCACCGAGAGCGTTGACGGATGTAAGTGTATCTTCACATCCATTTCACTTCGAGGGAAGGCTAATCTGTGGACACAAGACAGAGATTGAGTAAGTATTCGGCCTTTGATGCTGAAACGAGCAGGCGAAATTGGAGAATTGACCAATGCTGCAGGTCTGCGCAAACGAAGGACTAGGGTGGCAACTAGGGGCTGCGGACGCAAAAAACTTGTTGCAACATCATCGAGATCGATTGGCTGGGCATACACCACACCGCAATCAGCTCATCCTTGCTTTGCAGCAGCCCCTGGCCGTGGCCTCGTTTGCGTTTCCCCCCGACTTGCCGGTGGCTTGACCGGTCGTCAAAGCCTTTGTCAAGGAAACTAACACTGCCCCCGAGTGGAGAGGAGGCTTGGGATGGCAAGGCACAATCTACATTGCGAGAACTATAAATTATATAACCACAATACAAATCGAGTACGGCTCTTTCGCATTGTCCCATTGAAAACCCATCCACCACATCTGCTGCCCTTACTTCACCCCCATGGCTTCGTCACTCAATTATCTTAGCAAGACTGTAGATGTACCCGTCAAAATTCTAGATCTCCCAACAGGCGGAGACGCAGTTTCATCCCATCAATTCTCCGATGCGCAATCTCTCATTAACTTTCTGGCTCCTGATGCTGGCAATTCGAACTATTCATGCCGAGTAATGTACGAAAAATAATGTGACTAAGATAGCGGCCACAAGATGCTAACATGGGCTAGTTCGATATGCCAGAAGCACTCATGGAGACCCCTTCAAATCAGTGAAGAAATGCTGGATGCTCTTGTGAGCCAATATGGGCTTGATGAACATATCCATGAGCTGGCCTCGTGTTTCTTTCAACGAAACCTTGCTCTTGAGGAGACATACTGCGTTCCATGGATGCAGAAACGGAGTACTACAAGCGAAGGTAAGATTACGTTAACTGGCCCAAGTAAATGATTTTTTGTCGGCTAATCTCTTGGTAGACCTGCTTTACAGCATTCGGTATCCCGAGTTCAAGAAACTAGCGAGGAATGGAGCATTCGTCAGACTGGATTATATCACCAAAGACGACTGGATGGCTCAAAAAACGTGTTCATTTTGCTACACCCACTCCCAAACTCAGCGTTACAGACGTCCGTAGAGCGTTATGTGGATGACAATGCCGGACGGTTTGCTGCTAGCCCAATGTGGTTGCATGGCCTGCTCTTTGATACATATTTTCCAGCTTGGCGGCATTACAGTCTTTCTTTGGAGCGAAAATTCTTACCCATAGTAAGTTTTCCTCCAGCATCATCGTGCTAACAAACTGTTGACCACTGCATAGGTGAACCTCACATGGGCCACCTTCATTGAAGAAAACCTGCCCGTCGACCACGAAACACTCAGAACGTTCGCGAGTCTTCGCAATCAATTCCTGCAGATCCCGTCTATCCTATCCCAATCCGCAGATGTCTTGCAAGAGATAACTGCAACGCTGGTCGATCTGAAAACAACCCAGCCAGCAGCATCAGAACACTGCCAACATATCTCCTCCCAGGCCAACAATTACCGAACACAGTGTGCGACTCTCACCAAGACAGCTTCATACCTTCAGCAGCGGGCGGAGGTGATGGCAGGCTTTTTGGCAGGGACGTTGTCTCTCCGGGATCAACTCGTTTCAAAGCAGCAGAACAACAGTATGGTCCGGTTGAACAAATCCGCCGTCTTCATAACGGCTTTAACATTGCTATATCTGCCTTCGTCGTGGCTGGCTGTAAGTTTCTCGCAAACCCTCTCAGATCCGATCCAGTCTAACACCAATCAGACATTCTTCGGCATGAACTTCTTCGTCATGAACCAAGATAGCCATCGACTAGTCGGCTCGCCCATGATCTGGATATATGCTCTCTCTGCAGCCGTCCTCACAGCGGGCACCATGTTATTTTATTATGTATTGATACAGTACGAGGGGCAGTTCTTCAGTGGACTGTCGCCAAAACCGCAGCTCGGTGCCCCGGAGAAAATCACCCGCCTTGAAGGGTTGAAGAGAATGTTGACTAAGTCAATGACGGGGGCTATCTATGACGAGTCGAAAGAGATGATGGTGTAGGAGACGTGCATACAGGGCTTCAACTCGCGACTATTAGCTTTATAATAGCGCCCCGTTGCGTGGTTATGAGCATGTGTCGTGGTCCATCATCTCGGGACAGAGCCACCGCGATTCGGTCACTTTCCGACAAGTCCGGGAGCTCTGCAATCAATGCCGGAGAGGGCTTTATGTCCCGTGTCGGAACGGACATCCTCAGAAGCAGCAACCTATCTCTTCTTTCCCCGGTGGCAAAAGCATAGATGGCCTTGTCGTCGTGGTCGACTAGGATGTGTAAGATGCGGTACTTTGGCACATCGTGTTGATAAAAAGTAACTTCGGCGCCTTTTGGGTACGGATGAATCCATAAACGCCGCTCACGAGTGATTATGGAGAATGCGCATTGCGTGTTCAAAGGAGCGAATGTTGTCAGAAAGCCAAGATTACTGTTGTCTTGTCCCTATAGAAATTATCAGACTATCGTAATTTGGAAATCATGGGTTTTGGCAACTTGCGTCCGCATTGGCATTTTCATCCAATCTTTTAGCGCTATTTGTGCCTAATTGAAAGAGAGGAAAACTGATATTGTGTTTGCCTCCACGGACCGTTAGCTCCGGTCTGATGGCAACGTGCAAATTGCCAGCGGCCGAGAATGTGAAGTGTGTAACTTGTCCAGCTTCGGAAGAGAGCGCTGCCGCTAGGAACGGATCTTGAGAACTGACTGAAGGATGCATCGAGGAAGTCGGAGAGGAAAGATTCGATAACGATGTTGAGCTATGGCGAGGTTACAAAGATGATTGACTTTGGCAGGCCTATTGTGACTTACTCAGAGTCGGCCAGGCTTATTAGCTCTTCTATCCGAATCCAGCGCAACCTCAACGGTGATCTACGTCCAGTCGTTACGCAGGCAAACCACTTGCTATCATCTGATAAGGCAATATTTTGCGGTGGAGGGCAGCTGCTAATATTGATAATATAATACTTTTCCAGGTTTGGTTCCACAAACCGTCCACCTCTGAAGTCGAAAACATAGCACTACGGACGCATTAGCTTCGTCCACACACCCTAGTATAAGCGTCTACCCAAGAAAAATTTGTACGTCTTCGTACCTGAAATCTATCCTTGTTTGTTGAAGCCACCAAGAAAACTTCAGTCAAACGTACGTCCCGCCAGGTGACGTTTTCTCCTCCGGGAAGTGTGAAGACGGGGCCATTATCCAGGGTGCCCGAGCTGCCTGCATTCGAAAGCATCTGAGCCGTACAAAGCGCAATCGTCTTGTCGGTCCAATATGCTGCCAAGGTTGCATCTGCTGTAACAGAACATCCTTTAGGACCCGAGAGACTCATAGTCCATTGTGAAATGTCAGGAGCGACATGTCGCTCTCTACTTTACGGGTCAGCGATTTTCTTTGTATCTAGTGAACCGGTTAGTACTGACCTACTGAAAGGATTCCAGAGTCCGTGCTTGGCAGGTTCCGATGCATGGCTGGAGGAATGGCCATCTGCCACAGCTGGCTCAGCCAGCTTTTTGTAACCCTTGTACGCATCCTCCATCTTCCTAACAAACTCTTTCGCATCCGTACTTCTTCGGCGAGATTCTGGGTTGAGAACGAGTACGGAGTTGTCAATATATCCAAGAAGATGTTGCACAATCTTCGCCTCGTTTGGATCTCGTTTCTTAGCTTTCTTGACCAGCTTTGCGTGCCACTCCGCAACTGCCGGGTGTCGCCTCGCTTTCTCAAACCTTTTGCTATCCGAAGTCAGAAAGAAGTAGTCGTAACCCTTGGAACCCTTGTACTCGTTGCGTGCTGACGTGTACTTCTCGAGTCCATCCCTTCCCTCTTCCATGTATGTAAATAGGGTGCTGATGATGGCACCTAAAGACCATACATCGCTCTCTCTTCCCGACGTCTTCGTCGAAGCTTGAGTCTCCGGAGCAAGATACGTCCCTTCGGCGCGGAGATTCTTCGTCTTTGACAACGACTGATTGCGCTTGAGAAATGGTTGTTCGAAATCCTGCTCGTCTTCATTTAAAAACTTCACTCGCGACATGCCGAAGTCGCTCAGTTTCCAAATCATCCTGTCTCCATCCTCGAAGAGCAAAATGTTCGCCGGCTTAAGATCCATGTGGTAGCAGGCAAAATTTTTGCGATCCACGGTCGTGGACATTTTGTAGTGGAGAAACTCCAAGCCTTCTGTGAGACCAACCGCACTCCAGAGGATGGATGACTTTTCAACGACGGTTTTCAGACGCTCAGGCCCCTTCTCCTCCATATACTTCTGGAGGTCACATTTGGCCAGAGGCATGAACAAGCTGTATCGAGGTTTGGTGTCGTTTACAACTTCTATGCTCCCAAAGCTCTCGACAATATTTTTGCAGTTGAATCGACTGGTAAGAATCGCGTTGATGATGTTGTATTCGCTCTCCCCATACCTTTTGGGATTGAGCAAGTAATCTTTTCTGGCCACAGGGATCTCGTCATAGAACGATTGTCCGTCTTGGGTTTTCGTTACCAAATGCCCCGCAGCGATTTTAACCGCGTATACCTCGCCAAATGACCCATCTCCAATGTATGTTGGCTCGAGATATGGAAGCCTCCATTCTTTGAGATCTTGAATTTTTAGCGAATGAGGATCGCCTATTACGACGGTGCAGAATATTGGCTGGGCATCGCGATATTTGCGGGTCTGCGCGTGGCTGCCATCAAACAGTTCCAAGCAGGCGTCACGCGACAAAGGCAGATTGCTAGATCCATCGCCGATGACCAACTTGGAGATGAAAGCTTGAGCGGCTGTGATGTTGCAAGATGCGTAGAGGATAATTGCCAGGACATTGTGGAGCTTCTTGTCTTTGATTTTCTGAACGAAGACGTTCTCGTTGAAATCGTCGGGCCAATCCGTCGGAGACAAGGACAGACTTCGGAATACGCTGCCTAAGTTCTCGTCGTGCAAAACTTGCTCAGCGATGCCGCGGGGTGCGAAGCGCAGACTATGCTCCTCGTCTGGCAAGAGGTTGCGGGACAGTTGACAATAAATATGCGTAGAGACTTCATCGTAGCTGTCTGAAGGCACGCTCCCACCAGCCATAATGCCTGCAGGTGGTGCTTCGGGAATCAGAACATGTGTTTGTACTTGGAGCTGCTCTGCCTCTTTGGAGGGAAACGAGGCTCTGACACCCGCCGAGCAACTAATGATGCTTGTTAGAATACGGTGAGCTGTTTTGACCTCATTGGCATGTTAGGCACGTGTTGAGTCACGGGCTGGATGACTCTATTGAGTATGGCTGCCTATGGATGCCTACTACTTGAGAAACTATATAGGGACTTGCTTTTACAGTCAGAATAGAGCAACTCTTCCACTACTGATCTGTTAGAATGATTGGTAATCAACCCGTGACCTGCTGCGCTAACAATGCTATTTAAAGGTAAGCGACACGTGACTAATAATTGAAAATTGCTAGTTAAAAGAACGAATACTGTACGCCTTAGAGTTTTCACATTTTGCTTATTGCCTTAATAGACTGCGATAAACCCCCCAAAAAGCACAAGCGGATGTCATTGGTGCACCAAGTTCGAATACCTAGCTCGATTAATTTATGTATTCCATCCTGCTTAGTAATATATATCTCCGCTCTGGTGCTCTGCGATAACAATTAGCAACGGTACCTTTTGGGTACAACCTGGCAGGGATGCACAGCCACAAGTGTCAGGAAATGGACCCCGCTTAAAATAATTAACTAAAAAACTAGCGACACCCAATTCGCCTTCCACTGTACCATGTGGGGATAAAGTTTAATCCATACCGCTTTGAGATGGTCCGTACGCTCAAGTTATTCATTAAGTATTTAAAGGGCGGACACCGATTTCGCACATAGCTATATCAGGTTGCATCGGATGCATCTTACTTTTGGGGTACTTTGAAGTTATCTCGTCTCTATAGCGTCTTGTATTTATATAATACTATTTACAATAATTAATGCAATGTATTTTGAGGGTATTTATTTAATTATTACACTTGATTCCGTTCTTCAATTATCTGACTATAATTTACAAATATTAGCTCCGTCATTACAATCTCTATCTACTGCCCCTCTTCTGCCCCGACCTTTTGCTCTACCCGCTCTAGTCTAGCACGATTCTTGAGATTTCTACGCCCTGCTTCTATATCATACGGAAGCAGGTTCACCGGTACCGGGTATAATAGTTGCTAACTCCCCGTTAGTTACACCCTTTAAGACCTTTAAAAGCAAGGCTAGTAACTTGCAATTTGCTCTTTAGAGGGTGGCCAGGACTCGAGATCGACAGAATTATACGTAAAGTAACGACCAGTCTGACGGTTACGGATAATAAGGGCTACATCAATATTGCAAAGCTCTGCCAGCTCGTAGGCCTTATTAATCAAGGTAGACTTCCGTCTGCTTAACCTTTCGCTTCTTCTTTTGGGTGGTTTGACAGCCATAATAAGGGAGGTTATTCTTTAAATATTAAGAGAGTAGGATATATAGTACTTTAAATAATCTAAGCTCAGATATCAAATATAGGAAATTCTATAAAAGAGCGCTTGGAATAAACATTTCTAAAATACTGAAAGTTAAGTTTCGGTAGCTAATTTAAAGAAGTTGAAAATAGAAAGTGTATTCTCGATACGGATTTGCAACTCGCGCATTTTCGAAAGGCAATAGAACGGTCCGCTTAGCAACCGCTCAGGCAAGAACACCAAAAAAATTACGATTTTTTCAAAGTACTTAGAAAATTCTAAAAACTTCCAAGATAATTATAATTAAGTTGTAGATTACAATTATTAACTATTTTTCTTTATTTTGTTGCGTTATTATGGTTAAATAGATATTTGGGCGGTTGAGGGATATAGGCGGTTGAGGGATATAGGCGGTTGAGGGGTATAGGCGGTTGAGGGATATAGGCGGTTATTGGGTAAATCCTTGTATTACTTTCGAGGAACGAAAACAGACGAGCGAATAGAAAATAACTCCACCTTTCGATTTCCAAGTAAGGTCTCTTCTTTGACTGGCGTTGCAGGCGCGCGTTTGATATAGCAGTAACAGGAAGTAAATAGTAAATGCTTGCTAGTCGAAAACAGTATTCTGCCGGGCATATCTATAGCCAATTACATTTCAAAGAAAATAAAATAAAATATTTTTCTATATATCTTGATTGGCTCTTCTAAAGTTGGGTACGCAATTTCCTCCATAAGCAGGGCGGTAATTGCGTGGTCGCTTGCCCCACCTTAGCATTTAGGGAACTAACGTCTGTTCCTGCGTCCCAAGACGCACCCTGTTACAAGACAAATCTACAGTTTTAGAATTACAAATTTTTTCTTAGTGGATCTATAAAGTTGTTATTAATATATTACTTTCTTTACCTATTTCTCCTTCAGAAGACTACTTAGCAATAAGAATAAAGAGTACAGTTAATTATACTATTAATTATTTTAATTATACTACCGATCGCCGCTTCTGCTATCTCCCCTTATTTAATTGCAACTATTAAAGTCTTTTCAAAATTCGGAGCACTTGAGGAAAGGTTCTATTACGAAATAATATAGCTCCAAATTTTGAAGACTTTCAGAAAGGAGAGAAATACAGTCCGAGAGTTACGCCGGTATAATAAGAGGGTCCACATATCTCAGTACTTAGTAATATCTATTAGCCTAGTAATAAATATACTATATTTACGCCCGGGCTTGCTATATCTACTCAGATATAACTTTTAGGGCTTATCCCGTATATGGCGTAAATATAGGGTTCTCGAACATTCTATAGCTATAGAGGAATGCGATCCTAATTAATTAAACAGCAGCCGTTTTTATCCTTAACGGAGTCTTTCATTCCGGATAATATCCCCTATATAAGATCTTAGAGCTATTTATACAAATTCCTGTATATCTATATTAAGAGCTCTTATACTCTATAATATACGAATTGCGCCCAGTTTAAAGGCCATTTCTAGTCTTTCGCTCGCTCCTCTATAATACTCGTATAAAGTGCTACTATAATATCCCGACTCTCAAGACGCAATATGCCTTATTCTATAAGCGATATATAGAAGCCGCAAGCCACCTTAATATATACTCGATCTGGCGACGGCTACAAGTATCCGATTATATATGGAAATTCTGCTATTTAGAAGCTACTAACTATATAGATTACTTTATTAGCCAAACCGGCGGCTTTATTCTCGGCTATCAAGCAAGCAGAGAGGTAGGCCAGTCGAGTATATTACAAGTTAATCTTCGAGAGATTATATATAATTAGTATATTCTATATAGGACTTCCAGATTCGTCTTTCTGCTATAGTATTAGCCTACTACTCGAAGAATTAATATAGTTTATCCGGCTATAGTAGGCAAAGTAGGTAATATTATACTTCTTTATATAGTAGATAACTACTTCTATACTAGGCCGCTTAATATCTTCTATAATAGTATAGTATTATAGTATTTCTATAATAGTTCTTTTCTTATTAAAGATTCCGGGAAGCGGTATTATACTTGAAGTTACTAATATTATAGTAATTAGGGATTTTGATTATAAACTTATATTAATGGAATAATAGGACCTTATATAAGAGAGAGCCTTAATAGATAATATATACGAGAAGATAATATAGTTAAATGTATTCTCGGTCGAGCCTAGAGAATAATTCCCTGCTATATAAAAAGGCATTAAGTTTATAAGATCCGTTTCTATCTACTATAACCTTAAGAGATATTTAACTAATATACTCTTTATATAGCTAATATTATCTAGAATATACTTTATATATATCTTTTATAGCTATTTTAGGAACTTTCTATTATATAGCAACTATAGGCTAGTTACTTATATAACTATATATACTATATTTAGCTCTGGCTATTCGTGCTATACTTCTCTTTATTAAATAATCTGATTATATTATAATATAACCATATTTAATATAATACTTTCTATATTCTATATTTCTTGCCCTATATTTGAATTTGAGGCCATACTACTATTTACTAATTCAGATCTCTATATTAGCTGCAGACAGGCTTGAAAGATATATTATATAAATACCAGTTAGTAATATAATAATGGTATTACTATATAGTTGACTTATATTACCTCGGTACTTTGGGCTGCTATAAATAACTTTTAACTAGATATACTTTAAATTAACTTAATATATAGCTCGAGCTCTATAGCAGTAGTATAACGCCGCTATATAGTAAGAAGTTAATCTAATTCGGTACTCGAATAGCCGGAATAAGCATTAATAGTATTATAGAAAGCTTTAAACTTTATAGCCAGCTTTAGATAAGCCTTTGCTAAGGATAATAGATTACTCTAGTTATTAATTATCTGGCCTAAAATAATAGTATAACCCTTTTTTAGGTACTTTAGTACGGTTTCTAGGTCTTATACCTAAAGAAGTACTTTATAAAAGTCGGTAGTAATGCCTGCAAATCTTGAAATAATATATTATCTATTATTACAATTAAGGGACCGGGTATTAATAATTAGAAGGAGATCTATAACTAATATTGCGATTTCTATAGCTTTATTATATTATTTTTAATAAAATAGTAGTTTGAGGCATTAACTTACTATATAGATTCGAATAAATGGTAGGGAAATATAAAAGTTCTAAGACCGGCCAAAAACTCGATTTATTTTTTTGAGATCAGCTATATTTCCTGTTTACTAGTACTGCCTCTTAAGCTTATTACTAAGGCTAATTAACTAGTATACTAGATCTGAGTAGTCTTTAGATATTAATATAACTACTTAACAAGCGACTTGGATAGCCTCTTCGAGGTCGGCTATATTACTTGTCCGCTAGTAGCGGCTCTTAAGGTAATTACTAAAGTTACTTAAATAGCCTGTTAGATCGAAGTAGTTTTTAGGTATTAATATAACTACTTAACAAGTAACTTAAATAGCCTCTTTGAGGTCGGCTATATCTCCTATCCGCCTGTATTACTACTCAAGCTTATTACTAAGGTTATTTAAATAGACTACTAAATCTGAATAGTCTTTAGCTTTAGATATAATTGCTTTTCGAGCTAATTAAATAGCCTCTTTAAGGTCGGCTATATCTTCTCTCAACCTATACCGCCTCTCAAGCTTATTACTAAGATTATTTAAATTACCTATTAAAGCGGAGTAGTCTTTAGGTATTAATATAACTGCTTAATAATTAACTTGGATAGCCTCTTTAAGGTCGGCTATATCTCCCGTCCACTTATACCGACTTTCTAGAAATACCCTAAAGTTATTTAATAAATAACTTATAATTTCAGGTTTATTATATTTATAGTATAGAGATATCTATATAAAGCTAATAGCTATATTAATCCACTCTTTAATTCCATTCCGGGTAAACTTATTATAAATCTTGTTTGCAACTATTAAGGCTTACTTATAAGGTTCAAAATCTTGCATTTCCAACTTCTTAACCAGATATACCAGAAAAATATTAAAGTCCACTTACTAATCTTCCATTTCGATAAAATATATCTCTTATTATAAATAATTAGTCGCAAAATAAATAAAAGTAACTTTGGTATTACTTTATTAGCTATTATTTAAGCTATACTACCAGTGTATCTTATAGCTATATTAGTATAGGGTTAAGGCAGTAGCGGGTCTCTTGGTACTACTACTATACCACATTACTTGAGTTATACTTGTATACCTTTCTTATATCTTAATTTGCATCCCTAGAAGTGTAATAATAACAGCTATTCTTCTTTCCCAGATTTTTATTACAGTCGGATTAATTAAGCTCGGACAGCTTGTTACTAGTATTAATTATCCCTACCAAGACTACTATAATTCTTTATACTTCTCTACTCCGAATCTAATAATTAATATTCGTATATACTATAGCGGCCCCGGTTATAAGCTATATATATCGAACTTTTCTTCGGTACTAACGTTTTTGCTATCCGCTAGATATTTAAAACGTACTAAATTAAAGGTTTATATTAAAACGAACCTAGTTCGAACCTATATATTACAAAACTCTATATAATAGTTTGAGAAAGCGGTCTCCTTTAAAGAGACTCGATACTGGTTTGAGAGAGTAATTGGCCAGAGCAATAATATATACTTTATTATAGGCTTCTATACTATTATAGATATATAGATTATCTATAAGTCTGTAGAAGGTAATAAATATACGGGGCGACTTGGGCTGCCCGTTAGATTAGTACTAAATATAGCAGGAATAATAGCTCCCTTTGGAGACCTTACTAATTCACAAGTCGGCGTTTATTACGGGAGTATAGAAGGAATTATTAAGTATTTCAAGGCCCCTGGAGAGTAAATCTGTACCTTTTAGTATCGGAAAGTTTACTATTATTAGCTATTAAGCCAAAGTATTAATAAGGCCACGTTAGCAAAAATACTGTAATAGTCGGCAGGCGATTAATGGCGTAACGAGGAGGAAAGGGTTGAGGACATTCTTGAGGTGGAGACAACGGATCTGGGTCGGCTAGAAGGAGAGTAGGATGTAGAGGTAGCAGATAATGAAACTCTTCTGTAACTATTATAAGCTAGGGAAAGATATATATATCGATCAACAATTCCGTACTATACCAAAATTGGAACATAGAGTAATAACATCCCAACCTTTCTCTCGCTTCTTGTTATGTTGTCTTCCTTTACTCGCCCTTAATATCACCCGCCAGCGTTCCACAAGAAATAAAGCGATCAAGCCTCCAAGCAAGAGACTGGCCCATCGACTGCGGCCTGCTTCGCGCAGAATGTATCTTCCTCCACCTAGCTTTGTTTACAGTCTTGTTCTTGTCCTTGCCCTTCTTCAAGTCTTGATAAATGACCTCCTCTTCTTCCCAGGTATGAGAGAGTATTGCGTAAGCAGGGGCTTCGCTGCTGATGAATTCGCGAAAGACAATCTCGCTGTCAGGTTTGCATTGCAAGAGGCGTATACGAGATATGGTGGAGGTTCGCGAGCGATCTCGTGGCAAGAGCGACTCGTATCACTACTTCAGCGAGTTGGTACAGCACTGCGATTAAGAATTAGATGTTGAAGACCTGAGCGCGAGAAGGATATTCCAGGTGTGGTCGTAGGTGCCTATGAGGCTCTATCGTGGCATAACCTGGCCAGTTGGAAGAGCGGTAAGATGCTGTAGGTGGGAATTAAGGGGACAGGACGGTCATGAAGCATCAACGGTCGCTGAAAGACGGACTGCTTCGCACAGGCTACTTTTTGCTCTGCTCGGAGGATGTCAGGAAAGCGGGATTTTCCGGCAAGATCTCGCGCAGCTACAAACGCGCAGATTTTACCGAGATTACTATAAGCACACCGCCGCTGACCAGCATCTTTGATCGCTTAATTGGACGAAGTATCAGCCTACGTTGCGACGGCGTATAACATTGTACGCTCAGGCCGCTACAACACTGAGAATGCCGTTCTAGCATTATACTAAAACCTGGATATCTATTTCAGGTCATTTTATAAGTTTAAAAGGTGAAAAAAACTTGAGGGTAGTACTGCGATTCGAGGGGTCTATTATAGTATCAAAGGAAGGCGCTCTGTAATTTCAATTTGGCGGCGACAACGTGGTTATAATTTTCGGAATTAGTAAGTCAAGAGTATTCAGGAGTGGTATATAATTCATCTGAAACAAAAAAGAAATAGAAATTTTTACACGATCGCAGAGTTCTAATTGCTTAAACTCGAAGTACCTATATTTTGTCTCGTTATAGGGTGCGTCTCGGCATATAGGGATAGACGTTAGACAACATTTTCCTTTTCCTAGAGGCTTGCTAGTAGATTTCTACTGGTCTTACAGACGCCCTTCAAACCTGGAGAGCTCCTCAAGGCTAACGTCCGTCCCTGCGTAGCGGAAAACCCTATGTGCCGGAAAATTAAACGAATTTCAACATTCACAAGTCACTATATGAATAGAACTCGTGTGATAAACTTATTACTAACTTCAGATATAAAAAGTTTTTGTTGTGATTGATTTAAAGAGGGTGTAGTGGAGGAAAATCCGCGATCGGTGCGATCTCATTAGTCGTTTCCGGCACACCGGGTTTTCCGCCACTCAGGGACGGACATTAGTAGATTTCTACTAGTCTTACAGACACCCCTTCAAACTTGTGGGAGCTTTCGTAAGACCAGTAGAAATCTACCGGCCTTGGGAGCTCGCTAAATTTTAAGACGTATTCGTACGACTAGTAGAAATCAACCAGCCTTGGGGAGCTCGCCAATTTTTAAGGCATATTCGTAAGACCAGTAGAAATCTACCAGCCTTAGAGCTCGCCAAGCCCCTTAACATTATCACGTGATATCAATTTTTATTACACATTATAGGGCTACCATATTCATAGAAGGATATAGCGGGGCTCTTATATACTTGGTATTTGCATACTTCTTAGTTTCTATACAATATTTGGTTCGCACACTTTATATATTCGCTAGAATACCGAATATAGCCGCTTATATTCTGTAGCTATATAATATCCATATTTTCTTATCTTTAATACTTCTCTTTTATAATATTATCTGGTAGCTATAGGCATAACTTTATATATATAATATCTAAAACTATATTCTATCTAAAAGTAATAAAGAAGTACGGGGGAAAGTTAAATTACGGAATAAAAAATATTATCCAACTACCCTATCTGCCTTACTACTATAAAGGTTAATAATCAAGTTCGAAGAAGCTTACTCTATCCGTTAGATAATCTTGTATAATACTTTATAACTTATCTCGAATCTCGTTAGTACTAGAGACTTTTATTTATTAGTACGGCCAGAATAATAGACTAAGTAACTTACCTACTATAAGTAACTAGCTATCTCTTCTAATCCGTTCCCTAGATTTAAGTTCTCCCTTAACCAGTATCTATATATCCCAGTTAATATTATTTGTTAGTTTCTTCTTAATATACTCTCCTATAACTTCTGTCTAAAGGATCTCTTCTAATAAAGCTTTGCCCGAATAGACCTTTATATACTTCCTAAAGGATTTTTCGCTAATATTACTCGATTTATAATAGATTAAGATAAATAGAATCTATTCTCTACTATTAGCAAGTACTAAGAAAATAGATAGTTTATTTATAATATATATCTAATTATTATCTAGTATATTCTTATTTAATGTCCTATTAAGAAGCGGCTAGGCCGCAACTATAATATCTGGCCCGGTTAGATCTCTATTTAAAAGAAGGTAAAGATAGAGTTATAACTTACTAATATCCCGAATCTATTAGACCAGATAGATTTAATAAGTACAAACCTTATAGGTATTATAGCTATAAATAAGCTACTTTAGATATAGTAAATATACTATAATTCCGAAGCTACTAGCTACTATAAGGATATTCTTATAGTTGTCTATAGAAATACTTTTCCTATAAGATCCGCTAAATAGTATTCAGGAATTTATAGTATATCCGCTCTTAATATACTATAAGAGTTCTCGGGTTAGACCTTACCGAGACTCGATAAAGAGATCCAGATAATCTTGCAGCTTCTCTGCCTATAAAATTACTATAAATAGGTAACTTTATAAGAAGAACTAGAAGCTAATAGAAGGCATTTATATTTAAAGGTTAATAGCCTGCCTGGCTTTAATATTAAGTGGCTTCTAAAGCTATATATAAATCCTGACCGCACTATATTTATAGGTAATATAGGCCTATATACTATAGTAACGGAAGACACCGTTTTGGCGGATAACTATATATTTTTAAGTAAGATATATAAATAGAAATAGCCCTGCCGAGATATAGAGATATATATAGAAGAAGGCTTTCTCGGAAAGCAAATATTACTAGATAGAGTAGGTAGTAAGTATAGCTAAAACTTAATAGATACGGAGGAAAAGTTTATAGAATAGTTAATAGAAAAGTAATATAGAGAATAGAAGAATAATAAACTCTAGTAATAATACTTCTTATATAGAGTATTAGCGGCGAAATATAGTAAAGGAACTACTTATAATAACTGCAAACCTATTCTAGAGCAGATATAAAGAAAAGAAAGGCTTTAAAGCTATTATAACTAATAGATAAAAGATAGTAAATATAACTACTATTATATCTGCCGACTAATAAATCTGCTAAAAGATACTAAAAGTTATATCTAGTAGATCTATAAAAGTATTAAGATATAGAATTACAAATAGTGGAATTAGATTAATTATTATAAGTATTCTAGCTTAAAGTCTGACTTATAAGATAGTTATATTTCAGAACTTAAAGTAATATATATTTCCTATAATATAGATTAGCTATACTAAAATACCGGCTCGACTTTACGGGCCTAGAAGCCGGTACTAATAAAGAATATAGTAGTAAATTAGATACTTTAATATAAGAGAAGAGAGATATCTAATAAGGCAGATAATTAAAGAAAGACTATTAATAAATAGAAGAAGGCAGAAACTGCCGCCTATAATAATAGTATATATAAGGCTAATATCTATAATAAATAAGTAAGAGTAAGAGTAACTATTTACTATATAGATAAAGACAGATAGTTATAGAGAATAAGGTAGAAAAAAGGTTAATCTCAAGAAGAAAAGGGATAAGAGAGAGAGGAAGAGAGGTAGAAAGAGAAAGGAAATCTGAGAATATAGTAAAACGGTTGCTTATAAAGTCTTTATTAGAAGATAGAACTATAAAGAAAGATATAGAATCTCTCTATCTATTAAGATTAAGAGATAGTCTTTATTAAAAAGTTATAGGCTAGAGGTAGTTACTTTATAATAGTTATTTCTATCTAAAATATATAGTCTATAATTCTAAAATACAAATACTTAAACTAGAGAGTTTAAACTAGACCCTGCCTATTTTAAGCTCTTTTAATAGGGACTTTCTAGTTAAAGGAAGCTATAATCGGCAGCTTCTAAAAACAAGTAAGTTATTTTTAGAATAGAGAAATTAAAATACGGCTTTCTATTATTTTAGTTTAAAAGAGACCGATTTGGGCCCCTTATTATCTAATTAAACTATAGATTTAAGATTTAAAGAACCGGGGCTTAAATTTAGCTTCTATATTTCTATTATTTATTAATATAATAGAGTCCCTAAAAATAGCTATTAAAAATAGAGGGTTTTTTTAAGTTGGAAAGTATTAAATAACCTGAAAAATCTTCTTAATCTTTAGAGCAGCTACTATATAATAGATATAATAAAGATTAAATATAAAAACGAGAATATTAAAAGAAAATAAGAGAATAAAGAAATAAATAGAAAAAAGAATATTTTAATTAAGAAAGTATATAAGTTAGAGCAATTCGAGAATATAGATATAGTATTAATTATTTATAAGTATAGTCGGTATACTATATATAGATCCAGAAATTATAAAATATAGCTATTATTAATAGTAGAAATTATAAGTATTTATTTAATTAAATCCGAGTAATATTAATTCTAATCTAATATAATATATATCCTCTCCCGAAAATAATAATATCTAAAGATATTAAGAAGTGCCTTTTAAAATAGAAAGGAAAAGGAAAATTATATTTGAATAAATAAGAGGAATTAAAGAGCTATTAACTTAATAAGTAGAATATTACTAGTAGATAGATAATTAGTTACTATATAAGATAGAAAATAAGGCTATAATAAATTAATAGAATTAAATAAAGCCTCTATTCTCTAATATATTCTTATACTAGCCTCTTTTATAGTAAAAGACTTTTTAGTAAATAGCTTAGACGAATAAAATAACAAATCTTCTATTAATATAGTTAGGGTTAGTAGAATTACTAGAGTATTAGCGGGCGCTATTACTAGAGTTCTTTTCCTTATAACTAAAGTAAAGAATTAATAAATTAGAGAAGGGATTTACTATTTAAATATTCAAATACCCAAATACCTAAACTACTTAAAATTTGATTTGGTTATAATAATACTATAATTTAGAGGAAATAATATAATATCCGGGCTATTTGAGGTATTCTTTATAATTTGTAAAGTTTTTAGAATTTTCTAAGTACTTTGAAAAAATCTCAAGTTTTTAGTATTCTAATAGAGATATATAGGCAGTTAGAGGATTTGGGCGTTTAGGCAGTTATTAAAGAAAGTAATATTATAATTACTATATAGCAGATATATACTAGTAGGGGAGAATAACCCGAATTATTTATTTCTATTCGAGTTCTATTAAACTCAATAAATAAGCTATTCTTTCTATTATTTACTATACTAATCTTAAGTAAATAGTAATTTAAAAGAAGTTAAGATAGAGTAATAAAATACTG